TTCCCTCGATTGGATTTCTTGGTGGTAGTAACATGCTAATTACATCAGGATTGCTCCCCAGTAAGCAGGTGCTCAGTGGACGAGACTTGTCAGACGGAAACCTTACTGATTGCGGGACACTGACGCCTCCTTTCGGCCCGCCAAATTTACTCGGTGAAGAGTTGACGAATGTGCTTTCGGATGGGGTCGGGGTATTGGAAGGCAAGGCTGACTGGAATGACTGGTCGGGGGCCATTATTTCTGGGATATATGAGCAGAGAATTGTGTATGCAAAGGGCAGTCGACACCTAGAAATTTGATATATCATAGCACGCAGTCGTAGCATCGATTGACAGCTTGGCGGCCCCGATGGTACATCCATTGACTAGGCAGGACAACTGGAAAGTCACTGAATTGTATTAAGTACTATATATAAGTCATGGCTCTTTATCATGTACACAGGTATGTAATGTATGTAGCAGCTACTCCGACACAGTATGTGAAGAGATGAAGACAACAGACCAACCACGACGGGGACTTGGACGGATTTTGCGTCCCAAGTCGACGCGCGGCGGAGTTGCGGCCACGTGTGCCACGCCGAGCCGCGTTCGTGGTCCGTTCCCAGAAAGGAAGGTAGCTGGGGCGGCTTCTTCTCCCGAAGGACGAGAAGGCTCTCGGTAGAGAAACTCAGGGCAAAAGTACACAAAAAGCGCGAGCAGCATGATCAGGGTTCGAACCAACCGCCTTACTGACAGCACGGTCGTGACAAACGTACAAATTACCATTCGGCCAAGAGTTCTTGTTTGTCTACCTCGCGTAATATATTATAACCGTCACTCCATACCCATGAATGATGTGGTTTTTCCACCCCCCCAGCCCCGAGACCCACTTCAGGCCATTTAAAAATATTTACTTTTCGCAGAAAGCGACATTTTGATTTGTTAGCAATAAAAGTACCAAAAAACACCCGTGACAAGTCTCGGCCAGGCCATCCATGAGCGAAGGAAATGGCAAGCCCAAAGCGGGCGGACATCACGGAAATCTGCCGAGTCTTGCAAACTCATATATTTCGTTCGCAAGGTCATATATTTGGTGCAATCACTGAAATACTTCTACAACAAGTGAAATGGGTTATTGTGCTCATTCACATATTGCAAGGACTATAGCGAAGGAGCCCAAGTTACTATAGGCCCTCAAAATCTGTCAACGGTCACATCTCTTCAGCCCAGGTTGTAGTTTCGTGGTCATTTTAACAGCGTGATCGAGCAATAAATAGTTCGCAGATTATGGCATTCTGTGTTGGGTAGCACTATGTACATACATACATAAGTATACAAAGGATGAGGTAGCAATTACAGGCGAGGTGTTATACAGATCGGGCAACAGCAGCAAGACGAGACCAAAGAAAGTAAGAAACAGAAAGCATTTCACTGGTATTGTCGGACAGGATATGCGAGTGTGCGTAGAGGTGCTCAAGATCAGGTACGAACGTAAGTAGTTGCCCGCACACGACAGCGCGTCGCGTACGACATTCACGCCGTACATTGATAATGTCATCCCCTAGTCCTAAGACGACGCACAGTGTCTGCGTCGTCTTGTGCAGAGGGGATGTGGGAAAGGACGAAAGCGAGGGCGAACAGGAAAACAAACAAGAACGAAACGAAGGGAACGCAACAACGCACCCGACCTGCCACCTTCACGTCAACACGCGCTCGCCACGCAAATCTGCCAAGAGCGTCCGAGCCGTATAGCACCATGTGAAAGAAAAGGCCTTGGCCATCGTAGAGTAAACGCTGGGGCCGAAGATAAAGTGACCAGCGAAGGCTTCGGACTTGGGGGAAGAAGGGATGAGGGGATAATGGTGGTCCAACTCGAAAGGGAATCAGCCCGCGCAAGAAAATCATGAGTGCGCTGGCAAGTCCCACGCTGAGTCCCAAACTGCGCCTTCTTTGGTGACGCATCGATTCCGGCCGAACTCGGCGGGTCTAGGAATGGGGCCGATCCCAAGCCAATCTAACATTCCGTAGCTTTCTAACCTTTAAAAACCTGTTTCAGCCCAAATAAGTATTTTCAAGGGCGATATAACTGCAGTTAACCCACCGCCACCTTGCGCCGCCATTTAATCGGTGCAATTGATTACAAGCCTCGGCGGAAATCCGTGATGGAGGGTGGCAGAAACTGTCAGCCCGCCATTCTGGCGATGCCTGCAGGCAGCTGCAGGCTTGCGTCATACTTTGTTCACGCTCACTTACCGGTGTCATTGAGGGCCCGGGGCGTGCCGAAACGCGCCGCGGAGTGGGAGCGGGGGACTGCCGGCGTGACTACTTGAAGGGAGAATGGCGGCGTCTCCATAAAAGGCATCATCCTTCACGTTCTCTCTTCCTCCATCCACCACTCTTGCCTCGTCCAACTCACTCAACTCTCTCTACCAATTTTTTTCTGAAACAACCACCGTTCTACTATGTCTGATATAGCTGATAACGCCGCTGTCAACGGTGCATCTCTTTTTCTTCCTCTCGTTCTCGACTTTACTCATCCCATCCTCCTTTCTTTCTTCAGCCCGGGAAGATAGACCCGTTCCCCAGAATCTTGAAAATTGGGTCAACACTCCCGAGTTCGATGCTGCCTGTGACCGCAAGGCGAAGGAGCGTGCTCTAGCTTCGTCTGACGAGGGCGACTTGTCGGAGGATGAGCGCACTCTCTTGTCCAGTCCAAATAGCAACGACAGCAACACCACCGCCACGCCCGCCGACTCGGACTCTAATGAAGTCTCGGAGTTTGAAGCTCAGTACTACTATTATGGGCTCGCTCCCAAGGGCTCCCACCCCCGTCTTATCGCGCGCGACTCTGCCGACAAATTCGAAGAACCAACTGGACCAGACACGGTTGTTCGTCAGATGCGCCTCGTCGACGTGCCTGGCCATCACGAGTTCGCAAAGAACGGGCTATGGGGGCAAGTTCGTGATTGGGTACATGACCTCTTACATACCACAGTTTTCTTTCAGGGCTGACTCTCTTTATTCTCAAGATCGAGAAGTTCCTCATCAAGGAGGACATCCAGGTCTCGTCCATCGACTTTGTCATGTTCACTTGGCTTAACAAGTTGGAGGATGGGGAGCTCGAGTCCGAGGATGAAGGAGAGGATGACGAGGGGCAGGAGGAGGAGGACGATACCGATGCTGCTTTCGCCGCTCTCACGACTGCCAAATCGACCAAGAAGCCCGTCGAGGACCGCACGAGGGTTTACTCCAATGCGACCATCTGGATCGGAGCTTTGCCCGACACGCTCAACGGTGCTCGTGCCTTCGAATTGACCACCCGGATTCGTGCCCATCTCGACGGTCTCCATCTTACCTCGAGGGTGGATATTGCTTTCCGTGAATCCGTCGCTCGCTTCTTCACCGGCACCAGACCAGCTCTCTTCGCCCCTGCCGAGACCAACGATCCTCTCCAGGGCTTCATCGATAACGTCTCCGTTGCCCACAGCCTCACTATTTCCGGTCGCAAGACCACAATGCAAGGGACCCTGGGTCCTTACTTCCAGCACAACGGCAATCTCTATGCTCTCACCTGTCGTCACACCTTGTTCATGGCCTATGATGGCAACACCGAGTATCGGTACAACAGTATGTCTCCTTGTTTTCTTTCAAAGGACTAGCTTTTCTGACTTAGGTGTCTGTACAGCTTCTGCTCCTAAGCGCAACGTCGTGGTGATGGGCAAGCCTGCCTTCAACAGCTACGTTGACTCGGTGCAAGCCCATATCGGCACTCTCAACGAGACGGTCACGACTCTCAAGGATTTCATCAAGACCTTATCCGAACGGGTCGAGCAGGGCATCAATCTCCCGACGTCTCAGCACAGGCTCGAGGAGAACGAGGCAGAGCTCGTCAAGATCAACAGGAGGATCACAGACCTCAAGAAGTTCTACGTTACTTTGTGCAGGAAGTGGAGTAAGTCGAGGGACCGCATCATCGGCCACATCGTCTGGGCTCCTGCCATCGCCGCCGGTGTCGGTCCGAACCGCTTTACACAAGACTTGTGTGTGGTCCAGCTGTATAAACCCAAGTTCCTCGCCTTCATTGGCAACGTGCTTAGCCTTGGTGCGATGCTTTTACTTTTTATCGTTGAACTTTGCTGATGTAACCCGTTTGTTCTTCTTTTCTTCTCTTTTAGGACCCGAAATCAGCCCTGAGGACTTCAAACGCCTCATGTACGAGCGCATTGATGTCCCTTCGGAGTTCAAGTATCCCCCCCACGGTCTTCTCCCCATGCGTGGCATGCTCACGGCGAACGACATCAACAACCCCAACAGCTTGGATTCCCAGGGCGATCGTGTCCATCGTGTCATCAAACGTGGTTCTACCACCAACACGACGGTCGGGACTCTCTCTCGCTTCATCTCGTTCGTGCGCAAGTACACCATCACCGGCACCCTCGAGTCCCTCGAGCTCGCCATCCTCCCTCACGAGAACGTCACGGGTACTTACTCCAAGGGGGGCGATTCTGGCGCTATGGCTATCTCTGCGACAGGCGCATACGTCGGCAAGGTCAGCGGTGGGACGAACAAGGGCACGGATGGATCCGACATCACTTATGCTACTCTCTTCGAGTACGATTGGGATCTCATCCTCGCCGAGTTCCCAGGCGCTAACCTCTACTAGGACGACATCCCTGCCTTCCTCGCTGCCATGGCTGACTAGTTAGGCTCGTCGTTTCCGCTGTCATATCGACCATAACTGGCGACTCTTACTTGCCTTATTTCAAGAGGTGGAAACTCGGGTTTTCGACTCTTGTCCTCGAATTGTCCGCGAATGTTTTCCTGTCTCGTAACCCCCACGTTCATTGCCTGTTTGTAGTGCTGGAGAATCACAAATACGGTACAGAAATGCCCGTATTGTACCGTATTCAAAGAATACGGTACTCGCTGGGTTCTATACCATACTGTATCGTATTATACATGTATTGTACTGACAACATATTGGTATTTAATCGTATTTAATTGTGTGTATTTTTACCCTCCAAGTACGAGACATCTTCTCCCAGTCCGAGCTTCAAGACATCTTTACAAATAACAGTTTTCGCAGAGGAAATAGCCGTGAGTGAAGACTTAGACTCAGTGAGGGTCTTACGACAGTGCGAGAAGAGCCGCTCAACAGCGACACTTACACCTGTCGACCGTCCCGAATCATAAAACCGATGTCAACATAACATGTGTAGGCACATGAAGATGCACTGATCAGGATTCATCCAAAACGTCCCGAGCCAAGGTAGAGACCGAGATCAACGTGACACGCGTGAGCACACGAACACGCATTGCATTGACCAGGATTCATCATGAAAGAAACCTCAAAGCCGCCACCCCGAAACGGTCTGTCGACTCCTTTCGAACTCGCCGCCGCCGCCTGCTCCGCTGCCCTCGCCTTCGCCTTCGCCTTCGTTGTCTCTGTCCTGAATCCCCACAGAAGCAGTCCCATGGCCAGCCAGATCCTCTGCCGGAGCGTTCGATGAACTCCCTATCGTCCCCGCCCTCGCCGCCTCTCGAAACTGGAAATGCGGCGGGGCATCACGGACACGGATACGTTCTTGTGGCGGTGGCGATGGCGATCGCGGTGGCCGTGGTCGTTGCCGTCGTGGCGCCATACTTTCGGGGGTCTCATGTTCCCACTGCAATTGCCTAGGCGAATGCGGGCGCGACTCTGGATGCGACTGCGACTCTGGATGCGAATGCGAATGCGACTCTGGATGCGGATGCGACTGTGGCTCTGGATGCGGACGCGGCTCTGGATACGACTGTGACTCTGAATGCGAATGCGGCTGTGAGTGCGAATGCGACTGAGAGTGCGTTTGCGAGGGTCCCGCCTTGGGATTAGCATTGGAAGTGGAAGAATTATGACGCCGTGCGTGCTCCTCTTTCCTCCATTGCTCCAGTTGGGCCCAATACCACGCGGGAAATATTCCGACGCGACCTGATGTTGTCGGTGTCGGTGTCAAAGTCGAACTAGAGGGTGCAGAAGATGGTACGGTCGTGGATGTGGACGTCGAAGCCGAGGGTTCAGTGGTTGCAGTTGAAGTTGAAGTCGAAGGCGCAGATGTCTCATTCAAAGTCGAAGGTGCAGACATCTCATTCGAAGTCGAGGGGTCGGCGGCTGCAGTGGACGTCGAGGGTCCAGCTGTCGCGTTCACAGAAGTCTCAGTCTCAGGCCTAGCCGTCGACTCTTCCTGAGTAGGAGTAGGGTGAGAGTGCGCAGAAACCCATTCCGGCGGCGCATGGTCCGGAACAGGCACCCCTCCATCGCTCTCGACGTCCCTGATCCCTTCCTCGTCGAGCTCGTACGCTTCGGCGCCTTTCTTAGGCGTGAAACGGACGCGCCAGATCCGTACTCGTGGTTTTGGCTTTGTTTCCGTCGTCTCCCGTGGTCCTTCTCCTGCGCCTTCTGCTTTGTCTTTCCGGACTTCCTCTTGTCCCTCTTCTACCTTCTCAGTTTCTCCATCCTCGTCCACATCCATCCGCATCTCCTTTCCCTCCCCACCCTCCCCACCCTCTCCCCTTTGCTCACCCATCCCCCCCTCAACCAACCCCCTAATCCACCCCAACACCTCCTCCCCCCACCCAAGACACACCCTCGGATCCCACGCCTTCCTCTGTCCCCTGACCATCCTCGGGATCTCCAACGTCTTGAAGGACTGTAAGAGCTGGAGCGCGCCGTTGTCTTTGTCGCTCCGGAAGCCGACGAGGATGTCGGGGACGCCGAGGAGGAAGGATTGGAAGTAGAATTTTAGGAGTTTTCTGGGGGGGTGGGTTGTCAGTGGTGTCAGAGTGGGAGTGGGAGAGAGGGAAGGAGGAAGGAAAGGAGGGGAGGGAAGGGAAGGGAAGGGACCTACTTCTCGAACTTGCGTTGGTCGTCGGGCCAGCGAATGACCTGAGACGTCTTCAGCTCGACCATCGTGTCGTTCGTGCCCTTGTATTCGCCTTCCATCCGTCCGTCCATACATCAGACACCCCACCAATGTTCAGTCAACCCCTCATTCGCGAATCAACACGAGTGAAATCAGAAAGCAGAAACTCACCCCGCACACAATCGACCTCACCCCCGATCACCATCCTCGTATTCCCCAACTTCGTCTTCACGACGCTGCACCACTGCACGTTCGTGTCCACGTCGCCTCCCCAGCCCGGCGGTGCGACGGGTTCGCCTGCCCATCCCGGCGCGACGGGTGCGACGGGTTCGTCTGTACCTGTACCCGTACCGGGCGGAGGAGGCGGGGGAGGTGGAGATTCAGACGTGCACCAGGATTCGAAGGCGTAGCCTGTGTAAGTCATGGCGCGTTGTTTCCCTACCAGGTTGTTCCTGGAACGTTGGTGAGCGAACGTTGAAAAGGTAAACAGTAGAGTAGAATGAAAAGGAAGGAAGTGAACACGTACTTTACTTTGAGACGCTGAGGTGTTAGATGTTCTTCGAGATACAACGTCCCGTCGACGAGCATGACGTTCATCTCCCAGTTGTCCATGGTTTCGTACGGCGTCGTCAATATCCTCCCTCACCGCAAAACGCCACCACAGTGTCAGCACCCCATATCCATATCCTCGTCCGTCGTCGGGAATATAAAAAGACTCACTTCGTCATGACGCCCCGCCAACACACGACACCCACATCGACATTCCTCATCCCACACACATCCTCCTTCCTAACCTTCGTCCAAGCCCTCAACAACGCATCTATCCTGCCCTTCCCATCCGGCTTCTTCTCCCACGTCTTTAACCCATAATGTAAATCCGCTTCCGGAGGCGGTGGGACGAGATATCGGAGTGCTGAGTTGTCGAAGTGGAGGACTCGGTCTGGTGTGTACGAGAATGTGAGGAGGGGGAGGGGTTGTTGGAAGGGGACGTTAGTGATTTGTGGCTCGGAGATGCGTGGGTAGAGGAGCTTTGCGGTGGGTATTGATGCGAGGGAGCGAAGGGCGCCAGGTTTTGGGCGTTTATTGTGGCGCGATTTCTCGTAGTGTTTCTTTGGTGGAGGCGCCGTTGAAGTGCTTGGGTCGTCAGACTCGGAGACGTCGACGTCGGCGAAGGGACGTTTGGGTAAAGAAGACATGGCCGTGATCAGGAGAAAACTCAGAACACAGTTTGAACAGCGCAATGCTAGGGAAGCTGAAGAATTTCAAGGTTTGGGTCGGTGTCGAAGATAAGCCTGAGTTGAAGTGGCTTCGACAAAGGCGCCTGCGTTTGTTTATTTCGGAAGCCTTTGCCAAACAAACGCCCGGCCAATCAGGTGTCGATCAATAAGCGCCCGTATTGACTCGTTCCCGCGCCTCCTTCGTTGTGGCTTGCTCCGGCACTCATCGTCTTCGCCCATACTAAGACTTATGTCTCGGCATTCGCTATTATATTTTAGTAATAGTATAGAAATATAGACGACAACAATGGCATCCTACCTCTCGTCCTGGTTCTCTTCCCCCTCATCGAGCTTACCCGTGGCCAGCGCCACACCGAGCACCGGTACCCTTCCCTCCACAGATGCTCTCTTCAACATATCCCCGCCACACTCTGACGATGACGACGATGGCTTCAACGACAAAGACTCCGACGAAGAACACGACCCCCAAGACGACGCACCTCCCGCTTTCCCCGCTCTTGGCAGCGCTCAGCGCGTCCGCTCCCAACCCTCTGCCTCCCAATCCAAATCCTCATCTCAATCAAATACATCAAATTCAATACCACGCATCCTAACCGATAACTCCCTAATGCCGCCACCACCCGTTCCTTCGTCCCGCTCTCGTGCCCATGGCTCCTCATCTTCCTCATCTATGCTAAGCGTACCAGGCTCCTCATCCATGCTAGGCGTACCAGGATCCTCCTCAGGTTCGACTCTCATGCCGCCACCCACGACGTTGAAGCCTCCGACGCTTTCGCCGAAGAAGAGGGAGAAGGTTGCGTTGGCGCCGGGACATAGTTCGTTGGATTGGGCGAGTTTGAAGAGTTCGGGGGCGGATCTTAGGGTAAGTCTCTTTTCGTGCTTTTGGTCGTTATTTTTGGTGTGGTGGGTGTGTTCATATGCCGGCTATGAGAGTGAAGGAGGGAATGCTTTCGGTCCCTGGGAAAGGGCTGGATATTATTCTTCTGTGGATAGAAACGTCCATGCGTGCTTGTACTTTAAATGAGGAGCAACGCTGCGGCTCGCACGGACTGCTTTCAGCGAATAGTCTTTTGCTATCTCTTGGTGCTCGCGAATTATGATCATCATGCTGCGATCTCCACGGAATCACCCATTCAACTGATACGCAGCTTCACCCATCGCCAGCGCCACCCATCACCAGCGCCACACCCCCCCTCCTTCACTTCCTCATCCTCATCCTCATCCTCATCCCCCTTCCCTTTTACTAACCTTATCCCCTCCCTATCGCACAACGCAACAGGGCGGCACAACCCAACTCATGCGCATCCCCCCCTCCGTCCTCAAACTGCACAACAAGAAAGACGACGCGTGGTCGGCCATAAACGGCAAAGTCTACAATCTTACACCTTATTTGCCTTATCACCCCGGTGGGGAGAGGGAGCTGATGAGGGTTGCGGGGAGGGATGGGACGAAGCTTTTTGGTGGGTTTTTCTTTCTTTGGGTCTGTTATGTTGTGATGTTGCGCTGTTGCTCTGGTGTTGTGTTTTGTGTCGAGCTGGGAATCTGGGGTTGAATCGAACTGACATTTGTTTTTTGTTTGTTGGGTGGTGGTGGTGATATAGCATTAACGCATGCGTGGGTCAACGTCGACTTCATGATGGATGCGTGCTTGGTCGGGTTTCTAGTCTCTGAGCCGTCGAGTTAGGTCGAAGGGGACACCAGTATGAGGATTCGGTCACGACATTCACGACGTACAGGCAGCTACATCGGGTTCGCTGAGAAGCATATATATTATACTACCTTTGTCACATACCAATATTTATTATCTCTTGCTATGGGATAGATAGGCGTTCGCTTGATTGACGGTGTGGCGACTGAAGCTGAGGCGCCACACGCGTGTCACGATTAGGGTTAGGGGTTTGAAACAACTCTGATTTCCTGAAATTTCTGGGTCAACACCTGTCGACGCTCGTTCTTCGACAACTCGTCGTTTTCGTTGACCAATCGCAACGCAATACTCCCTCTCGTCTGAACTTGATTGTGAATGATGGAGGTCCAGTTAGTGTAGCCTGCCGTGCATACTTATCTGGCCTGCTCTGCTCTGCTCTGGTCCGACTCGCTAGCGTTCGCTGCAGATTGAACCTCCTAGCTGTTTCATCTACCGCCCGAGACTGAGTCTGAGACTAGTGCTGAGATCTTAGACCGGGCAGTGCGACACTAGGCTACAACTCCGTGGAAATGTACGTGCGACCCACTCGGGGTCCAATCGCACGAGCCGTGTTGGACTCAAGGCCACGACCTAGTAATAAAATATGCATGTACATGGCTATCCTCAGAAGTCAGAGTGGGAACATACTCGCCATTGCCTCTGACTGCGCTGGCTGCGTGATGCTCACATGTACTCAGGCTTTTCGTTGTTTTGTCCATCCCTCTGAAGAACGAGTAGATAACGCTCCGCGTTTCTGCGTCCGACTTACGAGATACAGTACCAAGAAACTCAGAAAGAATATCCCTAAATCACTGTCAGTCAATATCCCTAAATCACTATCAGCCATACAAACGTCATACGGTGGTCTGCCCCTCTCGATCGTCATAAACACCAACTGCACCCGCACACCAGTCTACGCAAAACGCATTCCCACATCCCACATCCCACATCCCACATCCCGCATAACACTCCAACAATCCAATAATCACGCCACACCGCCATCCCGTTCCGTACGACTCGTTCCCATGCGGACAGCCATCACTCGAAATACATCGCGATGCGCGGTCGGGATGGGAGTTGGGCTTCTATGTTTGGGGTCGGAGTAGGAAGTTGAAGTCATGTAACTTGTTGGGTGAGGGTGAGGGTGCGGGATGTGGGATATAAAGGCGCCGTATGCTTGACGACATCGTTCGTTCTCTCTCAAGTTTTACCCACATCCGACTTGTATCTGCTATCTAACTTGTTTTCTTGTCTTGGCTTCTGTCTGTTCGGAATCTACGTCACCTTCATCCTGGCTCTGTTTTGCAACAAGACTTCCTTCCTCGATTTCTCTCTCGAAGCGCAGACAAAACTAACTTCAAACGCGATTCAGCATCATTGAACCATGGGTCTCACCCAATCCTCTTCCATCATCAATAACGAGCCCCTCAGTCCATTCGAGAGCAAAGCCCGGATACACGCCCATGTCGCCTTCTTCGCGTTCGTGGTCGGTCTGCCCTTGGGGATGATTGCTGCGCGATATCTTCGTACGGTATATAAAGGGTGAGCAAACCCGTCCATACTTTCCCCCTCCTCCTCTTTTATCCGTTTTCTGTTCTCCCGAATGTTCCATGCGTATGGGTCGTGCTGATGTCGGGTTTGGCAGATGGTTGTTACCACATATGATCATCAACGGACTCTTCGTAGGCCCGCTCGTCTTCGCTGCGTTCGGATTGGGAGTTCAGGCTACGAACATGGGCTTCCAGCCTCATTTCATCGATCCACATCAGGTTCGTTCCTTCGTCCGCTCGCCTTCCTTCGTCCGCTCGCCTTCCTTCCTCCCTCCCTTCCTCCCTTCCTCCCTTCCATAATTCAATGCTGACGGCGGAACGCACACAGAAAGTCGGCCTCGCACTCTTCATAATGTACATCGCCCAGGTCCTCCTCGGTTCCTTCACGCACTGGATCAAGGTCCCAAGTTTACAGCGACTTCCGGGACGGAGGGCGCCACAGAATTATCTGCATGTTCTGTTGGGGGTCGCTATCGTCGTTTTGGCTTCGTGGCAGGTATGTGTATACGTCCCACACACGTTGACTGGTATCCTGGATGTTGATGTGCTGCGTGCTTGATGTGATGTGGTGTGTGATAGACACATTATGGACTCTGGACGGAATGGGCTTTCGTGACGGGGAATGTGCATCCTACGAATAAGGGCTGTCAACGGTTCTGGATCGCTATGATGGTCGTAAGTCACCTTCCTGTTCCCTTCTTCCTGTTCCCTTCTTCCTCCTCCCTCCTCCATCTTCGCTCTTCATTCCGCCCATATCGTAGAGTACATCGCTCACCTTCGACTTCGATCTCCCAGGTCATGTGGGGTATCTACGCCCTCGGCTTTAGTCTCCTCCCGCGCCAGGTCAAGCACGAAGCGGACGCGCGGAACTATCAAGGGACGAACGTGCCCAGCGGAAAGGCAGAGAAGACGATTCCTAGGTCATCTTCCGATGTTCCGTTGACGGCTTGATCATTCGAGAATGTGACATGATTTGCTTTCTTTGTTTTCTCACTGTAATGAGGTCTAGGACGCGAGTTTTGTCTGCGAAAAGTAAGCCATGTTAGCGACGGCTTGGACAACGACCTATGCATGTGTTTTGTAATGATATTGTACGATGTTTGTGTCTTTTACTATAAGATCTTGCTTAACGACCACGACTCTGACCTTGAATATATTTTGTTCGCTAGTCGTGATGTTCAGTTCTGTTACTAGTGTACATATTGACTTGAAACTTGCAAGATTTGCACCGTCAATTCGAGAACAGGCCTTTCTGCCGTGAAACCTCAGAAGGTTGACCGTAGGAAGTCACAGTCCCATATACAACACCATCGTTTCAAAGTTTCGCCTTACGATGCTTCACGTCCATCTCCCTCCACTACAATCCCAATGCCGAGTCAATCAACCAACCATAACTAACGACGAGAAACGCACTCACCCAAGGATACCAATCCGACATATCCTCCCCCAGCCGATCCTCAAACCTCGGCTCCCTCCTCTCCACAAACGCCCTCGCCCCTTCCTTCGCATCCCTCGCACTCGTAGTCTCCACAAACACCCTCGAATCCAACAAATGCTGCTCCTCGACGCTATCGCCACCGTGCCACAGTAGCGCCTTCGTGTACGCCACGGCCGTCTGAGACGTATTGACTGCGAGATCGTGGGCGAGGGCGAGAGCGGCGGGGAGAACTTCTTCGCGTGTAGGGAGGATGGAGTGGTAGAGACCTTGGAGGTAGGGAGAGGAGGGGTGGAAGGTTCCGCCTGTGAGGAGGAGGGCTGTGGCTTTGGAGTGGCCGAGGAGGCGGGGGAGGATGTACGTCGAGCTTGCTGTATAAGACGATACCTCCGTCAGTAAGATTCTAGTTATATCAATAAAGGAGAGGTGGAAATGATCGTGTACTGACCTTCGGGGCCAATACCCCTTCGAACGAAGGGCAACGCCAGCTTAGCGCCACCCCAGACGAAACGGAAGTCGAATGGGAGTTGGAAGGCAGTTACTCCGACTCCGACTGCATGTCCGTTTACCGCTGCGATGGTGATCTTTCGACAGCGATGGATGGCCAGGGATACCCTTCCACCTCCGTCTCGGTGAGCTACGACATCGCCAAATGAGCACTTGCACTTGGTTGTAGCATGACGGGCCATGCACGAGACTCACCCGTGAGTTTTCCTTCCTTCAATGTTTCTTCGGAGAAGGAACCACCCCACCCACCAGACAAATCTGCCTAGATATAAGAAGCCAAACAATGAGGTCCGAAGGGTGCGCCCTAGACATGCACCAGGTAACTTACCCCTGAGCAGAATGCGGGCGCTTTCGGCTCTGCGGTGAGCACGACCACTCTAACCCGATCGTCACGGTCAAGTAAGTCGAACAGAGTGATGACTTCTTCGGGCAGTGTGCCACCGAATGTGTTCCTCCTGGAATGACACGAGGACCGCTCGTCAGTACATGTTCAAGTCAAGGATAGCATAAACTGCCCAAAGACGAAGGGCGCTTACTCCTTGGGTCGATTGATGGTTAAAACTGCGACCCCGCCATCCAAAGATACCAAGAGACTCTTTAGTCCAAGAGAGCCATAGTCTGGAGGCGCAGACATGATGGCACAGACGAGGCAAAGGTCCTGAGAGCCTTGTTTTGATAGGAAGTTATAAACCTGATGAGAGCTATAATATCAGTCGAGTCGGCTCAAGGTAGACGTCAGTTGCCGTCGTAGAATCAGGTGCGAAGTCCGAGATCAGCGGCAAGAGAACACTTCTAAAAAGTATTGTAGTCTATAATTGACCAGTGCGATGTGGTCGGCAACAAGAGCAGGTGAACGTGCTGAACATGATGGACGTTGGGACCAGCTGACGGCAGTGTGTCCGGAGTGAACCGAAGCTCGAACTCAGCGAAATAAAGCCGGTGCTCACATTACAACTCCGCGAACAGGAGCACCTATTACGACGACCCGGTACAAGGCATAAAGAAAGGCGAAACGGTAGAAAATATTATAGCGTACAGTACATTGCAATACGACAGCGAGAATCAGAGAGGCAAAAATACAACAGACGTTCGAAGTAAGCAGTCTAACCCGATCCACATACAGTAACGTCGGACCCAAACACTAAAAACGACCGTCGTCACTCAACCCTTCTAACTGGAGAAAGAAGAAAGGAGACATGTCCGTCCTTCAAGTTCTACAGTCTCCATGTCTCTCGTTATAGTCATAGTCGTGAAAGACCTAAAGATCCCGATCGCGCGACCGACAAGTCACCCTGCTGCCGGACAAAGTCTAACAGTGCCTGACGTTCCAACAAAGCCTTCACCTCCTCCCCTTCTGGCACGTACGCAACCAGAACGAAGGCGAAATCGTTCATCGCCGATAAGTTCGTGACGGTGAGGAAATTCGGCCCAGAGCAGACGAAAGGAGAAATGTCAAGAGGCTTGTCGCGATCCTATAGATAGCGTGGGGCAAAGCATGAAAGAACATGGGTGTCTGTCAGCGGGAACGAGGACGTCTACGTGATACGAGCGTCTGCAAGATAAAGGCACAACAAAGTAACTCACCAGATCTTTGGCCCACCAGCTTTTGTAGTGCGACGTATTGGCGTTGATTTGGAGAAGTAATGACCCTCCGCTAGAGGGCCACGTCGTCGCGATCTCCCGAAGCATTCGTACCGTTTCCGTGGGGGAAGAAGGCGGTGTTGTGCTCATGTGCTCGTTGAGGGACACCATCTCGCCTTGAGGAAGGCATAGAAGCTGCACAGCGACTTGGCGTGCGTGCGGCCTGGATATGCCACGATAGAGATGGTGACGAATAAGGGCGAGGTGAAGACAAGCACACGGTGATGAATGGAAGGATCAAAACGTTGGAGGAGTGGTGATATGGCACGACAAGGTTGGGGCATTCAGCAAGGGTCTCAAGGCAGAGAATCTCAAGGCCAAAGCCGAACGTGCACTCTCTCTGAACATAAGTGCTACGAGCAGACACGAACTCACGAAGAGCGATGTGTCAATCCTTACGGATGTTGTCCCGAGCGCCTATGAACAAGGAGAAGACACGCCCTGCTATGGCAGAAACAAAAAGGACTTACTCGTATGAAGTATGCCGTTCAGACCAACGATGGACAGCAGCGGCGGTGTCGGGATCGACGTCAAAACGATATGACGAACAATCAGGATGCTCAAGCCCGAACTTCAGTAGCCATACTCCAGGTACTCTGGTTGGTTCAGCTGGTTGAGCTGGAGGAAGAGGCGTGACGACGGAAGGTTGAACCGGTTGGGGTGGTGTAAAGTAAGCCGGATGATCAGGGTCAATGAATGTTGGCCTTCCCATTGTGCTGTCGGGCCCAAAAGTGTTCGTGGAGGAAGGATGAGGAGACGATGGATGTAGACGCGGCTTTGCATGTTCGTCTCGCGCCTTAAAGTACTCCTGCGCCACACGGTCTGATGATACAGCTGTGTCCTTGTCTCGAAATGCTGTGGCGGTCAGTTCATCATTCTGTTTTCGGAACCAAGTATCGCGATGATCAGTTCTGCGTTCCCGCCCTTGGTCCCGATCTAGGTATTGACGCTCTGGTCCGCGCGCATGCTCGTTTCGGTGGCGTCCAAGTCGCTCCCGATCCAGGATGTTTTGACAATATGCTGCTCTGTCTTGTGCCTCGCGATCGTGTTCGGAGCGTCTACTCGCAGAGCTCGATTCTCGAAGATACGCAGCCTCGGTATTGTCGACCTTCGAAAGTGATGTTACAGCTGTAGATGGCAGTGCTTCGTTCGCGAAGGCTTTATCCACGGGAATGGCAGGATCTCGAGGGTCCGATTCCGATCTTCGATTCACAACTCCTGTGCTTCCAATACTATGAGGTGGGCTACTTGGGACCTGATGCGGCTGGGAGGGGAACCTTAATTGCGTGTATGGGCGCTTGTAGGCGTGGAGATTAGAATCCCGAGCTTCTGTGGCGCCGCTATTGCCACGTGTAGACATGCTGGTGTCGAGTCGATTTTCGGTCCGCTCGTCAGTTAGAGAAAGGGTGGATAGTGTACTGGAAAGCTGCTGAGAAGCACGATGTGAAGGCGAAGCACGGGCTGCGGAAGTTTGTTTGTTATTGCTATCGCAGTTTCGGGAATCATGCATGACTGGAGGAGACGACTCTACGTGCTGCGACTGCTCAATTGAGTCTGCAGGTGTTTCAACAGCTAGAGAACCAGTTGCATTAGTATCCGCGATACCTCCACTCACAGCTCCAGCAAGACCAGTGGCAGGTGACAGTGGAGCTATAGGAGCAGGTGTCGACGTGAGGGCAGACGAGGAAGCAGATTTCAACGAAAGGAACGAAACCGATGGTCCGAGGTCGAGTTGCATGGAGGCAAGAAAACGATCCGCGGCGGCTATCTTGACATCCTGATGTGCTCTTGGGGCCTTTGGAGGCGATTTTGTGGCGTGCAGTCCAGGTGGAAGGGGACTGCCACGATCTGAGGAACGCTCTTGTGGTGTGTCCAAATCCTTCTGAGTATCGCCCTGAACAACGGACCCTGGGGTCCTGGTGACAAGGTCACCAACCATATTCCAACCAGATGGAGCTTTATCGTTGTCAACAGAATACCTCGATGTGTGGTTTATCTGACGAGTTGGAGGGGCGGAAGAGTCGCAAGTGGGGGCGTCTGGGACCCGTACCCACTGTTTGTGTTTATACAGCCCATCTGCTCCCAGTTCACTTTTATAATCTGATGAACCACGGTCTGGCATGCCATAATCGCGTCGATCATAGTCCTCCGAAAGTGCAGGGCTTCCCATCCGGTCACCATAGCCATGACGATGACTTTCCGTGCGATCGTGGCTCCGTGCGCGGGGACTGTACCTACGACGCTTCCATCCATCATATGCAGGATAATCGTCCTCGTCCTCGTCACGGTCACGTTGCCGTTTGCCATTTACAATGGGACTCAGTTGAACGCGAGCACGTCGAAGAGGGGGTGAAGTTGAGTGTCGTCGGGGTCGATGATATGTGTTGTCTTTGGAAGGTCGGTGCCCGTCAGTTCTCGAGAGTCTGGAGGGCGGGGACATTGGAATATCTCCATTCCCTGATGATGGGAAGTAGTCGTGACGAGTTGAATGCTGAATGTCTTGGTCGTCCCTTCCGCGTTGTCCTCCTTGACCACGTCCTCTCCACGTGTCTCTGCCTCGACGCTCATGCTTGTCCCTCCCCATAGCTCGATCCCAGTCCCAATCCTCGACTGCCGCCCCGTTCCTCGCGTCATCGTCCGGAGCATTATTTTCCGAACGTCTCCTCCCCTGCTCGACTGCTCGGTCCCCAGCTCCTCTGCCATTCGGTGTCAATCCCTCAAGCTCCAGATCACTGTCGACGAAGCTTTCCCGTCTCTCCCTTTGAGCTCTGCGATCTAGGATTGGGGTTGCATGTTTCTGAATGTCCACTGCAGGACCGAGTGGAGTCGTTGCGTTAGCACTCGAGCTACGACGATCCTTCTGTTGAACCTGCTCGTGTACCGATCTCGCCTGCTTCGCCAATTCCAGGATCGCTTCGTCCGTCAATGCCATCTCGACCTTCCTTTCCGTTTCGAGTTCCTCTTCAGCACGTACGTGAGCTTCAAGGGTGGATATCGCGTTCTGCGTGATATCGCCCAAGCTCCTATCATCGTTCTCCTGCTTCACCTGCCCCGGATGTCCAATCACCCCCGTGATAGAATCTGTCATGGACGAAATATCACTACCTCCGTGATATTTCGGAGCCCTTCGTCGAACGTTCATCATGAGTATCGGTTTGAGCAGCTGTCTTATCATGTTCAGGTCCATCAACGAGGTAGAGATCGCGGCAGTGATCCCTGCCTCCGGAGCATCCGGAACAGAGCCAGAACGCGTTTCGATGACCTGAGCAGCTGTATCATCCATGATACGCTCAGCCAGGGACGGTTTCCGTGAGGCGGTTTCTTCGGTCTTCACTCGCGGTGAGGACCTCGAGCCCGTGTGCAGAGGATTAGGAGGTTCAGATGAAATCGCAACATAGTCATTGTCGACATCAATAGGTATGGCAATAGGCGCAGAAGGGGTTCCCTCCTCTTCTGTGACCCCTTCAGCGCCTATGCCCATCATCTCATCAACCGCCATCTCGGAGTTTATACTCGAATGAGGGGATGTGACCTCGTGCTGAAAAAATGAAAGAAGAGAGAGAGAAAATGATCATTTAGACACTGTAGCGCAGTGAAACCTATGATATATGGTTTGTGGGTATGTACGCACCGAGCTCACGACCCCCTTTACCCCGTTGGCGGTTCGCGCATCGAGGTGCCCCCTAGAATCGCCAACCGTACCCCCAGCACCGTGCATTCAATTCCTCAATAACACGCCAATGAATCGGAAGACTCTTCAATAGCCCTCTACGTATGCGGATCGTTCCAAAAGAGGGCTGAATCCGGTCGCGACAAATGGGCCAAGGGTTGATTCGTAGGATTTCGAGAATAGCAGGGTGAGCGAGCTCTGAGCGACAGTTCTTGATAGCACCAAAATCGCAGGGTGGGGGTGTTTTGTAGGTTGTTTTGTATGCAAGGGCTTGCCGAAGGAAATTATGGGGAAGAGAGATCCGTCGACGATATGCAGACAGCGAAGAACTGTATCACTTCGTGGTATTGCAATTTGCACGTTATAGGTTCGACTTTCGACACGGTGAGAAAAGACAGGAACAAAGCAGTTTTATAATCGCAGAGACTCTTGACGATAAAGCTAGCAAAGGCAGATGGTGGTTGCAAGCAGAGTCGTGGGCAAACTCCGCACGCAAGTTGAGCTGGCGACCCATCGACACGCGTGGGGCCTCAGCCACATCGGGCCAGATGTGGCACCGTTCGCCGCCAAGACCCCCCTGACTAGTTCGTACAGTACAAGAAAAATTTGGTTTGATGTGTTATACTAAATAACAAGCTCCTCGCTGAAGTTTCCGTGTTACAGGATGCCGCAAAAATGACTCTAGGGCGATACAAAGCGACTAGAAATGCATAGATAAGTATGTCCACGAGAACACCGTCCCCATCCTGCACGGGTCTACTTCCTGCGCCGAAAGGTTGGAAGATCAGTATATTCTCTCAGAGAAAACGGTCTCGAGGACTCACAACCAAAACCCGTTTCCAGTAGATATATTGCAGGGCCTACGCACTCTGCCAGACTCGCCTCATTTCTCCATCAGACCTTCCGCTTCACTCCAAGTATGCGCCTTGACGAGCTTCTCCTGGAGTATCAGAAGGATAGAAATGTGACGTTGTGTAGGAATGGTTCTCGCGTTGGCGCGTTTCTCGAGTGTGTAAGTCATCACCCTCAATGACGCAGAAGCAACGCAGAAGAATCATCTACATGCTCGATCGTGATTGTGAGGATAGAGGGAAAGGCAGTTTCGTACGGTTCTTCGCCGTTGGAGTATGCGTTCATATAGTTGATGACGGAGCGCAAGGCATTCTTACCATCTATGTGAAGAGTCTGAAGGTTGGGAAGGTTGCGGAGAGCGGTAAACCACGACGTGCAGCGTGAGAGACGCATTCTCCAAGGATAAAACGAATTGTACCACTTCTTCACCCTCCAACTCTGCGCACGACCGGTCAACAATCGAGGTAGCGGTTGAGAGATTTTGATGCTGGAAGGTGTACTTTGCGTGAAAGGCAACCTGGTCGAGGTACGGACGATCGCGAACTCGTGGGTTGATGTACAAAGAGAAATCGCCCATCCAACCCACGTAGTCGGGTCGACGCTCAGTATTTCTGATGAATACATGGGGACTAAGCGACATGTTCAGACCGAGCATCTTGGCCTGAGCGCACTTGTCTTCGGTGTAGGACCGTACAATCGAAGGCTGAGAGGAAGAGTCGTAGTTGAGAACGATTGTTCGACGGGTCGACGAAGGGAAGACGATGGATGGTTGCAGAGCTCTCCACATTTCTACGGAGCCCGTGTATGAAAAATCTTCTAATTGAGGCAGCTCAAGACTACGCCAAGGGATCGCGATGCTGCGAGGGTAATAGCGAAGGCGAAGCGTGCGCAATCGCGGGAAACATCTCAACATCGTGAAAATGTCTCTAGACGACGAACTACTCAGCTCCAGTCTGAGGTCCGTCAAACTTGGCGTCTCACGGTGAACGATGTATTCGAGAGATGTGAGAGAGATGGGGAGTGCGGAGAAGAGGAAATCGTCAAGAGTTGTTCCAAACACACTCCTCGACATTATCGGTACACTCCAATCGTCGTGGAAACTGATGTTGGATAAGACGAGAGGATGCTGTGGGCCATGAAGTATAGCAGCGAAATCGTGTACGACGTCTCCCAAACCAAGATACAGCTTGACATTACGGATTCGGTGCAGTTGTTGGATGACTACGAGGTTGTAAGCTGGATTGTGCTTGTAAGTCAGTCGATATATAACAGAGAGGGGGCCGTCCTTTAATCGCGCTAGGATGAACTGCATCAACTCGATCCGGTGTGAGCAATCGATGTCGACTCAAAAGTGCTTGTGGTCAAGCGCAAGGCTGCGCCATAGGCGACAGACATGGACAGAATGAGGCCAAGGGAGACCATTGTCTTCGTCTTTGATTCGGATAGCAGTGTCTCGATTCGGAGTGGCAAGCTTCGAAATCTATAGAGAAGACTCTTCAGGAGACCAAACAACACATGACGACCTCTTGGTGAAGGCCTACTTGTCCTTTTGATCCAATACCAGAGCGTGGCGAAATATTCTACAGATAAATCCCCGACTAGAAAGTACAGGATCAGGCGACAAATTTAGACATGCACGTAGATCCAGGGTTTGGCATGAGAGTGAGGGGAACGACGCACCACTATGTAAGAACAGCACCTGTATCCACTCGCAGATCATATTCCACAAGTCGTTCAGAGGAAGCAAGGTCGACATGGCATGAGTGGCTTAAGATGTACGAATCACTCTGTCCTCGAGCAATACTGAACTAGAGCGACCGGGTGGGTACTTCGAAGGAAGTGCCGGCCCAGGCTGAGTCGCGGGTTGAGGATAGTTCGCTTAAGGAGGAGAAAACAAAAGAGCGCGAGTCGCATTGTGTCTTGTAGTGAGCTTCTGCTCACTTTTCAGCCAGTGGCCACTGGTCTCCTTTGTGAAAGGAACAAAAGTATTTGCAAAGAAAAGGGCCTTTGCAAAGAGCAGAGAGCTTTGGAGAGAGAAAAGGTTTTTGTTCAATGCGTATCACACATTGCTAGCCCGGATGCGGCCGAAGCGCCAGAGCCAAGGTCTCTTTCGGCTCTGCATGTCGTTCGAAATGATTCCCTAGAAGACCGAGACATATATGGCTAGACGTAAAATCGAGCGAGTATAACGTTTACTGCAAAGGTAGCGGCGAGAAAATACAAGTAAAAAAGCTATTCAATACCTTCCACGTCCATGATCGCTGTCGCGTGTGAATAGTACAGTCAGAGGTTAGTTATTCGCAACACAAGCAGCTGAGAAGAAAGTGAGCTATATTGACCGAGTATTCAGAGGATTAACGATGCTTACTGAATTGGACCTTCAGAATACCCATCGTAAGTCCACCACACAAACTTTGAGAACGTTAACGCTTCTTGTGGACAAAGCTCGAAAACAGAAGTGAAGATTCGTTGCCAATTTTTCCAAGTTACCGGCCGGTAATGTCCCTTTCGTTGAACAGCGACCCAATAGTCCCAAAAGTATGGGTACCATCCTGCAAGCTCCCAGTCGATGATGCCCGTGATTGTGGCGTGTCCGGAAGAGATGTCGACCATGATGTTCTCCGGAAGGAGGTCTCCGTGAGTGAATCGAGAGGGTCGATCGAGGTTGATCTTGTCGAGAGCAGCTTGCCTTTCCTCTGCAGAGACTACTGGAGGGCTGGCTGCTGTGAAGTAATCGAAAATGTCGCGAGCGGAGGTGGCGACACACGGATTGGGCGAGTTCGCTATCGATCCCCGGTCTGAGTCAGAAGGCGACCACGGCGCGAGGCTGAAGTGGCCCTGATGGAATCGGCTGTTCTTCCCGACCATGCCCCACTGCCCATATGAGTCGAGCGTCCGCAGCTGAAGTAGATACTGCATGAGTTGCGCCGAGATAGAAGCGCATGCCTCTTCGCCGAAGCCCTCGAGAACGTCCACCAAAGGAACGCCTGGGACTTTTTTCATGACGAGGTAGCCGGTGTGGATTCGAATTGGCGAACTACCATTCTCTTCGGACAGGTAGGACAAGGGTTCTGGTACGGGTATGTTGGTATGCCGTTGCACGAGCTCCATGGCGAGGAACTCGGACTTCCAGACGAGAGGTCCGTACTTGATGACGAGTCCGCCTCGAACTTCCACCACTTGAGTTGAGAAACCTCGTTCTGGAGATTCTGTGAGACGGAGACCGTTCTCGATCAACGCCTTGACGGTCGCAAGGTCGTTTAAATCGTCAGAAGGCATTCTTGTGTCTGTTGATATTGATTTGAGGCAGCTATAAGTTAGTGATCAAGCGAGAAAGCGAAAAGACAGACCAGTACGTCACATGGAGCCTAAGGTGGAAAGAAGGAGAAATCCTGAGTGTGGCTGACGCGCCTAAGCTGATAATAAAAGACAATAAGCGTGGCAGTAGGGAAACAAGGAAACAAGTTTGATAGGCCGACTACGCTACAAACATAGCTCAGGTACAGGACCTCGCCGGGCCGAACGGATAAAGTAAGAACAGCGCAAGAAAGCCACTTCGAGTCACGTAAGTACGGTAAGTACGTTCGAAACAAGGATGACCGAAACAAAATCAAGGTGCAATGGATTGTAAACGGAGGCGTAAAATGTGATCAGGTAGAAGCGAAGAATCAATAGCGTTATATGTAGAGGATGACTTGTTCGAGAGGGAAGCCCTATTCTGCCTGGACCATTCTCCCCAAATTCTCCCGGATAGCTGGATTGCGACTGTGTGCCATAGATGGGCAACACGATGCGTGAAGTTATCTGATCGACCTATTCATTCGAACGGCAAAGTCCGGTGCGGTTCACAGCGGCTCTCTCCCAAAACCTCGTTGCTCTCACCTCTGAAAGCCTCAAACTCGCTCGCAACATCCGAACGCTGTGACTAGAATCCTTCTGGTGAGTACTGGATCCCAACTGTCCAGTACTGCCACGCCTGCGTATCTTTTGTTCTCTGCTTTGGTGCGTGCTAATATTCCGAGCTCTTTCTTTCCGCCTTAGGCTCCTTGTGACGTACCACTACTCGTAACAGAAGGAACAACAACAAAACCCGATCACTGGATGATTCAGATCGATCAGATACTTACAGTAATAGTACTGCTGTGTATTGTCTGCTTTGACGCATACGCCACGTCTTCTCCCCCTTGTGCCACTTTAGGCTCCTTGTGCCGTATCAGTACTCAAGACCACAGCGTAAAGCTCGAGAAGGTGACGAGTGCGCATTCCGGTTGGATGGCGGGAGGGGACGAGGGTGCGACGAGAAGTTGCCGGCCGAACCTGTGCCGAAAATGTGACGCGCCTTTTCGTGGCGCGTCTTCGTCTCTTTGTGTGCTCTTCTCTGTACTTCCACCATCACGTAGAATTTGACGAAGAGGTGCCGTTTGGCACATTCTCACTTCAATTCCATAATCTTTTCGTGTACTTTGTCACCTGTAACGTGCCAGAAATCAACAAGTCAACGCGTACGCTGAGTTCGACTTGAACACCACTGAGTCTCTTGCTATAAGCTCTGCCTCGCACTGTACTGGCCTACTCTCGCTCCTCTCTTAGTACACTATGCTCGACGAGGTTGACTGTCGCTGCCGAAAGTGCCACAACCTTCCCAGTAGGCTTCGTCAGGTTAGCCGGAATCTCGCTCAAAAGCATCTCAAGAAATATGGTCTTCCACCCACCACCACACAAACTACATCACACACGACGAACACTGCAGCATCTTTATCAACAGCTACGCAACCTCAGACAACACGGACTGCTGTGCGAGAGGCCCTTGAGAATGAAGTGCCCTTGTGGGATGATGGCGGTCCTGGCGATGAAGGTGATGTGCAGATGCTTGGTGATACTCGTGCCCGCTCCATCCCTCCTCTACCCCCACCAGTGCCACAACCTCTCCAGCATCCTCTCCACGAAAACCCCCCTGCCCCAATTCCCTCACAACGAGCACGACCTACTCCCCTCGATACAACATGGACGGCTGTGTCGCTTCCGGAACAGCCGCCACATCTTCCAACCGAAGCGCCACCCATCGTAGCCCCTGCCTATACCAACGGAGAAAGTCCGTCCGTCCGTGTAGCATACTTACAGGCAGTCTACAACAGTATCGTCAAGAAACAACCTGTTGACGACGTCTCTGAGAATCTGCAAATGACCCTGGACGCCATCGAAGCCGAACGCGGTCATCCCATCTCACATCCCAAACCTGTTCGCCACCTTGCCAGCGCCAAACGTCGACTAGGTCTTGATCCTGATATATGGATCATCGAGTATGCCGCGTGTCCACGCTGCTGGAAACATCATACGCTGAAACAGATGGATGAGCTGGCCACCGCAGCCTGTAGCGTACCAGGGTGCGACGGCGTAATCTACGAAGAAGGCACGGATGGGAAAGGTAAAACTAAGCGTACAGCCAAGTTAATCATACCACAGACATCCCTAATCCAATCCCTACGCCGTATGGTTCGTCGGAAAGGCTTTCGTAAGCTTATTCGTGACAGTCGCGGTGTCGACGGCCAGCGTAATGAAGATCCGAATTTTGTGATGGAAGATATGCACGATGCGCCCCTATGGTACGATCTGTGGACGGGGATCAAGCGTGAAGTGGGCAATCTGGGTACCGTGCGCGATGTTCCAGTCAGCACAGGCAGCGAGCGAAGGTTAACGGACCATCGATTCGGACTCCATCTAACCATTAACACCGATTGGTGCGTTTGACAGTGTCCGTCGTATGCTATACACTTAACTAGCCTTCATCTAGGTTTGGAAGCCTCGATAGCCGCCCTCATTCAACGGGTCCAGTATATGTCGCGATCAACGATCTACCTCGCGATCATCGATTTCTTCAGCGAAATGTACACATCCCGGTCGTTTCGCCCGGTCCTGTCGAACCAACGGGAGAGCAGATGGTGAATTGTATGGAGCCCACCATCTGTGATGCTGCCGAACTTAAGCAGGGTACATCTATGTTTCCATATCTTTTGTATAACCCTCCTAATACTTGGATCACCAGGCATCAAAATGGAGATGTACGATGAAACTGACTCCCACATCGTCGAGGAGACCGTGTCAGCCGACATCATCATGAACGACTGTGATACACCGGCTGCACGCAAACTTTCAGGTCTCGCCGGTCATTCAGCGGACAATTGTCCCTGTCCATGGTGCAATTGCACTCTTCTCGAGGCAAACAGACCATCTGGCTACTGTATCAGTGGTATTCCATTCCCTTCTTTCTGTTTGATAGTTGCTCGGTCTCCTGACAAGTGTTTTACTAGAATTCGTCTCAAAAGATGATTATGAGTTACTGAAGTACAAGTATCGATCCCGAGGTGCTCCGCAGAACCGTCAGGACGAGATCGTTACTCGCCACGGTGTCCGATGGGCGGCATCCGACTACCTGCCTGGGTGGCGACCCGCTCGTCAGACAGCACTCGATTTCATGCATGCAGTCCTACTTGGTAAGGTTTATCCACTGTATTTCTCACGTGCTGTGTTCTCGGTGCATGCTCATTTGTATAGGGGTCGTTGCATTCCTATTCACCCGTGTTCTGTTCGCGGCTCACATGTTTTCTGGAGCTGGTGGCGCTGACTCCCCGAAAAGGCGATTCGAGAACATCATCAACTCGATACGATGGCCAACACACATCACTCGATTACCGAAAAATGTACGTTCTCTCCCATCATCAACGTCGACGTTGTGATCAAAATATGTCCAATGCTATCTAGCTTGGGGAGAACCAGTCACTCAAGAAGGCCGACGAGTGGCGGCGGCTCCTCGTAGTCACGCCCATCGTCCTCTGGTTTGCCTGGAAAGACGACAGCGGAGACATCCCAGACTCCGAGCCTCCCGTTTCGTCAAACGAGAAGATAACGACCACACACTCCCGAAACCGCAAGGCTCTTTATAGTGTCATTCTTCTTCTCTGTGTTGGTGTCCGTATGCTCTCGACGAAGAAGATCTCGATGGCCCAGGCAAACGCAGGCCAAACATTCCTCGCTCATTACTGTCAACAACTACTTCTCCTCGGTGTTACACTCACCATCAACCATCACCTTTCCATGCATTTCGCCTCGATGATCAAGGACTTTGGACCTGTATATGGCTGGTGGCTCTTCGCATTCGAGCGGTTCAACGGGATGCTTGAAAAGGTAAAGCATAACGGTCACGACGGTGGCCGTATGGAGCTCAGTATGCTTCGCTACTGGGTACAGACCCACCTTCTATATGAGCTTCTCCTCGAGCTACCAGAGAATGCTTCCCCCCAAGAGCGAGCGATGCTCGGTCGCATTATAAGCTCTGAAGCCTCTGGTCAGCGAGGAGGTATGGTCACTCAGATTGCGATCTCTCAGGCTGAAGCATCCCTGGAGAGAGTTTCGCTTCCCCGGCGTGTGCCAAGACCTGTCGCACTGCAAGGGATTATTCTTCCCGGTGCTGCTTCCGATGGACAAGATCTCTACTCACTTCTCCTCGAATACGCTCGTGCTCTTTGGCCAGATCTCAGACTCAGACGGCAGTTCGTACTCAACGAAGGGGACGGAAGACCATTCGTGCAGGATGAAGTCGCTTCTCGCTTACCTTACATTCGGAAGGACGGCTTACGATATGGGTCTACCGCGAACACTCGAACGAAATCAGACGTGCATGCATTCATTCTGCGGGATGGTCTTCGGGTCCCCATTCAGATTGAGCATCTATTTCTTCTCAAGATCCCAAACAGCGTCCATCCTCCTCATGCTTGCGCCGTTGTTCGAAGGCTTCGATGTGATGTCCAGCTACCATTCCAAGTACCTTGGTTTTTGTAGTGCGTTCTCATCAATCTCACTGATACACAATGGTTCTGACTCCCTTGCATAGTGCTTCTATTCTCGGCATTCACGTCTCTCACGCAAATTCATTCCACCCTTACGAGGTGATCTCGGCGTCAGATATTGACTGTCCACTCGCACACATCCCCATCCCCCGCTCGCCCCGTCACGGTGATCTATGGATCTCAGTCTCATTTGACCATGTATGTATCTTCACAACTTGAATAAGAACGTTAGATAGACTTAAACACAAGAGACTAATTATGTGATCTATAGAGCGGCGAAGAACCGGAAGAGGAGTTCAATGACGACGAGAACGATACATGATCCCCACGCCACTTCAACCTTGTTCGGCTTCGCTCGAGCCCACTCCACGGTTGCCGTCCTCCGCCTTTGCCACCGCCTTGCCTTTCCCTTTTATATCCTCCGTCTTCACTCTCTTCGCCGCATCGCCTCCTTCCAGCTTCTCCGCCTTGCGCTTCACCGCATCCTCCTTCTTCTCACTCGCATTCCTCGCCAACCGACTCTCAACATCCTCTGGGTTCTCTGCATCGCCCCAAGCAATACCACTGTCGGCCAACTTCGATGCGATATCCTCCTCACGGTGAGCGTTCAGCCAAATCTGATCAACCATCCAACGTCTGGTACGACCGTCCAATCCTCGGGTAACAGGTAAACTCTTCTCTTTAGGCTCACCACGCTCGCGTTGCCAGTATTGCTGACTCGGGTTCGGATCTCTACAAGCATCAAGCCCTCCGAAAAAAGTGGAGAGCTAATAGTCATCGGTGAGTGCGGTTCCAGTCAAAGCCACCTCTCTCAAGACTGCACTCACCTCTGCACTGCGGTAGGTCGGGGCACGTGAAACGAACACGTTCTGAACGCGCTCTCCATTTTGGACCTTGTCTTCATCGTCGGACATTGCTTGCAAAGTCATCGCGGTGTCATATCGCGGATGCTTGAGAGGATGGTCAGCGGGCAGAGCACCACGCTTGCTCGTACGTGTCTTCAGTTTCTGCAAAAAAGACTCGAGGTCAGTTGAGAAAGGCAGTGATAGTACAACTGATACTCACTCCCTCTGCCCGATTCCTGTAGTCGCGCTCACGTTTCGAATCCTCATCCTTTTTCCTCGCCGTTCCTCGCCACACTTTACGAAGTGAGTCAAATTTAATCTTGAAGCGCTGAATAAGATCTTCGAGGGTGATGTCTTTCAGTAGGTCCTTGGTTGCATCTCTGCCGTCACCTCCATGATTCTTTGCCCACGTCGCTAACCCCTCAATCTTCGGTACGTTGAACTGATGTGTTGCGCGCTCGTTCCAGTTCAGACGGATCTGAGGTTGATCTGCAATTCCTAGGGCATGCTTCTCCTGACTCGGATGAAAGGTATCCCAATCAGTCGGGAAGTCTTCTTTAACCGTCAGAGCGGTACGACCATGGAAGCGGGCAAAGGTGTCAGCGGTAAGTTTCTGTCAATGAAGTACAAGACCCAAGATCAGCATTCATTCCGCAATAATAGAGTCAAGTCAGTCTGCGCCATCGAAATTGAGTAAAAACAGTGAGTTGATCCCACAACACACCAGTATCTTTGTGTTTGAGGCTAATAGCTGGCTCTCACTTTTCGCTTTTCCCGTCACATCCGGTTTCTTGTCCTCTTCCTCGACGTCTCCCGCTCCCATTACCACACCTTTACCACCACCACCACCCAACTCCAACTCGCTGATCCTCTGCTGTATCATTTCCAGGACCTGATCTTTACGAGCATTCTCCACCTCCAGGGCCTGCACGCGCTTCATGAGACTGTCGTTATCGTGCTTAACGCGGTACAACTCGGTCCTCTGATCAACAACCTCAAGGCGAAGGGCTTCGGTCGGGTTACGGGCCATGGTAGGGTTCACGATAAACTGCTGTTGCGGTCCACTGTAGGGCAATGAGCGAGAAGTCTGACACATGTTTGTAAGTACATGACAGCGTTCTTTCAACGTTCCTTGGCGAGTGATGAACTGACGAACATTATTCTCGCTAGTAGAGTCCATGCTCCTCTGGAACGTAGTCTGTCCCTGCAAAGGGTGCTTGATGGACTGATTGGGTGCTGCGATGGCGGGATTATAATCGACGGGAGGTAGATAAGGGTGGGCGCGAAGAGGTTGGGCAAGCACAGGGAAATTAGTCGGAGGATTAAGAGCAGCAGGAGGAGTCAAGACACCGGGTAAGTTACTGTCCATCGCAGCCAAACCATCAGGATGGTATTGATCATGATACCATCCCTGTCGCCGCGCATCAAAAGCAGGTACCGTGTCTGGTAACAAGAAGCCAGTATTTTTGGGAGCTCCTAGACCGTTAGGGAGAGTCAAAGGTATGTCGCCGGGTCCATCGCAATGCTGGTTGATGTCCATGATCGCTGAAGGTTCGTCTAGAGCTCAGTGTGGACAAGGCGTGGGTGCTACTGCGGGTCAGGGCAGTTTTTCAAGTCGACGTTGCTCGACAACCTCCTCTTATATCCCTTCAGTTCGACGATGCGGGCGGCATATGGATCATGTCTTTCTTTACTACCTGCTAGTGTGGTGATAAATTGGTGTTGAAATTCACCCAATATGCTGTTGACAGGCTTCGGAGACCTAAGAAGATTGTTGTATCCATGTCATGACCAGTTTCTTAACTCTAAATACATCACATTGTACAGTAAACAATCAACGGTGAGCTCAGGGATCGAATGAAAGGATGTACGATCCCGGTATACATCCCAAATATATCCCGTCGTAGGGAGACCGTGGCGGGTGGCGAGAGACCTTAGGCAATGTGGCAACTTTGATATTGCAATTGACAGGGGACGTCGCCTTCTCGGCCTATCTTGGTGGTATTGAGTGGTATTCTCGTCCGGCTGCTGTCGATTTCCAGGAAAGTCAGTGGAAGTTGACGAACGGCGGTTTCTCGTCGCATTCTGGGCAAATTCCGGGCGCTTCCCGCCATCGGACTAGAATGCGCCGTCCGTCAAATTCTCGGGCATTACGCTGTGGACAGAAGGACGAACAACGGAAGCTGATTATTAGATGATTCAGATAGATCAGATGCTTACAGGAATGCTGCGCATCGTCTTTTGGTCTCTACTTTGGCGCGTGAGCCGCGTCTTCTCTCCCTTTTTCTAACTTAGGTTCTTTGTGCCGTACCAGTGCTCATAGCAGAAACGCAAACAACAGAAACCGATTAGTGGATGATTCAGACCGATCAGATGCTTACCTTAATGCTGCGCATCGTCTTTTGTTCTCAGCTTTGACGTGGGCTACGTCTTCTTTCCTTTTTTCCACGCTCAAGTTAGGGTCCTTGTGCCGTGCCAGTATTCATAACAGAAAGACGAACAATGGAAGCCGATTATTGACTAGTTCTATCGGCGACTTGAGCTCCCTGACTTGGCGACTCGATCATGACGATCCATCGCGTTGTTTACTCGTCATTCAAGCAAACCGGTGTACTATGCGGTTACATATCTCCGATCCATCTTCTCGAGGCTTCCCTGGCTAGTGACTGTTGAAGATTTAGCGCCTCATAGAATCAGCGTTGTTCCTGCCGTCGAAACGGTACTAGTGGGGTTTCCGGCGAAGGACCCTTTGTGTCTTTTTTGTTACAATCCTGTGCTTACATCATAGTTGTGATGGATCATGAGTCTATAAATCCGTCTGAAGGACTTCCAATTGCCACATCTTCTTCGTCCTCGCAAGTCCTTTGACTGGTTCACGGTGAGTATTATCATACAGATGGTGACACTCCAAGACCGAGTTATTGACAAGATATTGTTGGTGCTTCATCATTTTCAGAGAAACCTTACACATCACAACATGTCTACAAGACTTTGGAAAGATGAGGACGATAAGAAAGCTTTGGCCCATTGGGCCGCACCCGACTCTGCCGTACCCAGTAGTATCCCAGTTTATCTTTGCATAACTCGGAATACGGACATGGGCATATTGCACTGGGTTATAGCTTGGGAAGCTTTCCCCGCAAACACACTTATCAGCCCGACTACGGATGCTATAGGTTGGAAAATTCTGGAGGTGCGCAACCCTCACGAGGGTAACGACAAGGAGTTCGCCCTTCGCTTTTCGTTCAGACGAAAGGGTAGTGCGACCGTATCGGTACGTCGTTCCGCTTGATCTCTTGTCTATGTGCATTACATTCAATTCTCTATCACTAGAAATGGGATCGAGTGAACTTGGGTCACCTGGATGGTGAAACCCGCGAGGCCTTGCCATTACTTGGTCAAGCCTGGATTGACAGAGATATGAAAATCGGTGGCAACTGTGTCACTTGCGTGCGGGAAATGATCCAGTCCATGACGCGAGTTTCGGATGAACATCAACAGCACGGCAAAAGCGCATTCCCTGCCACAGTCATAGAAATCCTGGAAGAGGAGAAGAGAAAGGACTGCGAGGCAGACCCAAAGTTCGAAGAGATTCACATGATCGCTACGACCGGCCATTCTCGACTGGGCTAAGCTTTCTCCTTATCTATAGGCACTTACTCTTGCAATCCGTCGCGTGTCCAATAGTATATTGTGTGTAGCTTGGCGTCATGCCGTATATCTAAATTTCGTGCATTTAATCATTTGTTCCGTCCGGTTGCCTAGGTTGGGGAAGTGCAATTGTGGACGCGCCTTCTGTCATAATAAATACCCTGTGCAGCACTCGTGGTTACCAACGTAGTATAGGAGCGACACGCCACACTGTCTATGTATTCGCGCGTATTCACCGTTATCGTCAGAACTGTATCGCTTCTTGTGTGGCGCTCTATACTTCTTCCTTGTCGGGCGATGACTTGGACCACCTCATCAGCAAGACCGCATCTGGCTAAACCTAACTATTTCGGTCTATTCGGTCTACCGGTAGATATGAATAGATCATTTGATGGCATCTATTCCTGACAGACCTGCCTTCTGGGAGGCATGAGATAGAGCGTGTTAGAGCTCAATAGACAATTCCGTTTCTCTCATAGAGTGTTGGATAGAGCGCGAGGGCCTTCACTTATATTGACCATTTTGGCTGATTAACAAGGCTTATTTATTGTTGAAACAATCTACGTGCTAATTAAATACAAACGAGAATTCCATGCCGTGAAAGAACACCGAATTGTATCCTTAAACCCCAGCCCATTGCGACCACCCGACAAGCGACTTCTCGATAACTACAGCTGTGAGGCCTTGAAACATTCAGAATGATATACGTACAAGGCTGTTCTCAATCTCGCGGACAACGATCACCAACGGCATAGAAACGAAAGGGAAAAATGACTAGCTTATAATAAAATCAAGGTTGTCAGTTAGGAAGTTCAAGCTAGGTCCAATTCTCACCGACGTAGCCCGACTGACGGTCATACCAGCGGGCCCCTGAGGGGTAGACAAGACACATGGCCAGCGAGCTTACTCGAGCACCACGATGTCTAATTGGAATTTGTGCTTGAAGCTTGAAGCGATATTGGATATCTTACGAGCCGTGAGTGGATACGTCGGTCATGCCGGTGTCATAAAAACAAAGGTGAAGGTGACAATGCTACATGAAACGATATTATATTAGTGAAGATGATGGTAGTAAAGGTAAAGAAAAAGGAAGTACTTACTGGCGAGCTCGCCGCAAGCGGCACACCGCGGAGAAATGAACCTAGACACCATCATACATCAACATTACTGTTATGCTGTGGGTAAGAAGACACAAAGCAAGATTTGCGAGGATGGTGAGCTACGCGCGCGCGCACGGCGAAACGGTGTCCGGGACATTGCAAATAACACTGAAATTAAGATTTGATAGGTTAGCCTATGAGAAATGCAATTCTTGCCTGATATCACCACGTACAGAGAGCTGGGTATATGCTTACTAGGACATTGCTTGACCAAGGCACAATAGCAGCCATAATCCCGCAAAGGTGGCCTTTTGCAATCGCTATCGACGGACGTTACCGATTGTGTATTACATCCCTTTAAATCAGAGGAACGAGGCGGTAAGAACGTACCTACACACCAACGTCATGATCAACAAACGGCCAGACCCACGAATACCTATAGCAAGTAAGCACATGAAAGTAAGTGAAGGGGAGAAAAGAGCATACGCGACGTACGAGGTGCTCGTGAGAGGTCAATCAGACGTCACGTCGTCACGGTATTCCGACACTCGACAGGCTGTCTCTGGAGGTAGGCTGCATCGTCCAAGGACCAGAAGGAGACAAGTAACAACTGTGATAACAATATGACCGTGGCTGCGAAGAGGAGGTATCATAGAGTGTTGAAGAGAAGAGGAAGGCTAAGGGAGTGAGGTGAGGGGAGAGAGAAAGAGGCCAAGCCACCGCTGACTCCCGAGCGCTTATCAACGGGATCAACAGTATCACGTGCTGGTTTAGGGCAGGCGTCGGCTTGCAGGCATCCGTGCTCCAAACAACTTCGAACTTTGCTCTGTCTACCTTTCTCCCCGTCCCCGCACTCACATTCCGCACTCCGGTCCACCTTCGTCTACAATGTCCAACACAAAATGAGTACGCGCAATGCCTCGACGTCGACTCGCCCGGACGTCTTTCCGAATCGAGACGCGCGCACCAGTACTCAACGCAAGTGAACGCGCAGACGAAGGCGACCGGACTCTATGCACTGCCTGGCGACTGTACCTCGGAGATGCTAGATCGTCGCGAGCGCAAGGGCTACAGAAAGATAGTTGACGAGCGAGCACTGATTTTTCCAGGGATGGATGCGGAGTTGGACGCGAGTGCCATGGACATCGGTATTTGTTCTGCTGCACCGTAACATTCTCCTTTTTTGTCTATCTTTCACTCGGACTGCCTTGCCGCTGCCTCAGCACTCCCTGATTGCACGACCGGATATGTATTCATTCCCATGTGCCGACCACACCTTTTTCTGTAGACATTCAAAGCTGTGCGCTGAGTGCTTACACTGAGGGATCTGGAGAAGGGAGGTGACGGATGGCGGCGAGATTCCACGTACCAACTATATTTTCGTGCTGTTCTTTCTGCATTGATGTACGATATGTGTTCAGTGATCTGTACTTCCTGTAGAAACTTAGCAATATGGCTGGCTGCATATTTATAAGCCAGGCTGCCCATTTTTCACGAGCACAAGGACTAGCGGAGGCGCGATGATCTTCCCGCTCTACCAGAGCGCGCACTTATCTATAGCATTGTACGGGTGTAGAGCGAAAAGAACGCGTAGACCGGAATAGACCGAAAAGTTAGGTTTAGCCAGATGCGGTCTTGCTGATGCTCTGTATTACCTCTGTGACCATAAGTACCTACGGCTGTACTAGTATAAGTCTATAACACGGTGTTCATCCCTAATTTACTGCTTATCCCTTTGATGTAGGCTACGATGATAATTTCCGGTTTAAGGGATGGCGAATCGTGCACAATGTGGCACTCACTCCCCGGAACAAAAGAGTCATGTTGATCTGACCCTCAATTGACTCGTTCTCCAATGGACTACTTACTAGTACAGGCGCCATTGACTCCAACAAGAACAGACTCGTCGCGTCAACAATTGCTATCTCTTTCAATAACGAGGATGAACTTCACGGCGTTGTTCAAGTTTCGTCTGGCTCTTATTCTGAGTCTGACGCGATGACGACGTATTTTATGTGATGCCTATACCTTGTGGATTTGAACGAGATGTTGGACGATATAATCAAACAACTGTTCGTTGGAAGCTCATCGTCTCGGTCTGTTGCTCTCGTGAATGTGGCGTGATAGGAGATGGGAATTTTCCTTCCAGGGTTGACCGCTTAGCTTCGCCATATGGATGCTACCTTACTTCAGGTCGTTGATCTCTACGGTATAATTCTGCATAAGAATGCATGCGCAATTTTTCCCCATGAGTTTATATTGGACGAAAACTATCTCTTGTATGTCACTAGAATAACTTGATAGTATCTGCCTTTGTTAGAACTCCCAAAGAAGTCCTAAGCCTGGCATGGAACGACCAAACTTTAGGTCTCTTTGCGTACTAGGCCCGGGGCTCCGCCCTGCGCGAGTCTAGAGTACCGGCAGCATATTTGTTTACATCCAAAGATATCACTTCTACGACCTCTTTTCAGATTCTACTTTCTAATTGAACCAAGGTAGGGCTCGAAGGACAGGTGTTATCTAGGAAAATGCGCCTGGACAATGCAACGAGGAGACCGCGCGACGATAGATGCGTCAAAGGACTCGGAAGAAAACGGGAAGAGGGCGCGAAGGCTTGCCACGTCTGTGGCGAGCATTCAAATATTCATGACGGCATGGCCCGAGGGGCGAGACAGAGACGCGTTCATGTTCAGTCACAAGCGCGTCAAATGGTCTTGTCGTTCTCCTCTACCGCTGCAGCCTGTTCACACTCATCTCCCAACCTTTCCCCTAGATTTTACACCCACTTGTAGGATCTGTCGAACGCATATGTTTGGCCGCTATGTCGTCTGATAAGGTTATTGATTATCTGACAAAGCAAATCGTAGTGGACAAGAACGTCGTATGTGTCTTACTTTTTGGGCATTATACTTCTACAGGACTGACCCATTACTCTTTCGGTCTCTCTGATTCTGCGGCTGATAATAGGTTACATTCAGATCTCTGAGTAGAGCTCTGAGTTTGCACGTGAATGACGCTAAAAAGTGACCATTTTTTGTTATGTTTATTGTGTCCTCGATCTCACATCATCTGTGCACGCCTTTCGAAGTGAGCTCGCAAAGTATCATTCCGACACCAAAGAAGGTTCGGAAAATGCACACGCAACATATTTGATCACAGGAGTTTCACGTAAACCGCCACAACAAAGACCAGCACGAAACGAAGACGCGATGGATGTGGACGAAGAAACTAGGGATGGGAGTGGGGATGGGGAAATGGACGATGATGGCGCAGACTCGGATGAAGGAGAAGATATCGACGAGACGACAGTTATGCTTGTCGGTGAAAGCGGTCTTGAGAGTACGTTGCAATCGCCTCGTATCATGAGCGTGTATCAGGCTGATCCCGGCTGGATTCTCTTTTCCCTGCCACAGAATCCAAGGAACGTTTCTTCCGTGTCTTTTCCATTACCATGTACAGCCTGTCACCCGTACCACTGCATGTACGTCCCAGAGTCATTCATACATTACTCTTGGACTCATGCTCAAGACGTATCACTCTGTTTTTGGATCACAGACGCCGCACCTCGTCTGTGCACCTACACCTGCCCTCCGACAGACCGAGATGAAGAAAGGTGCTGAGCTCACATCTACCGTGGGCAGTATCGTAGGTTCTCACGTTAGAGTGCGTTCTTTTCTCACCACATATTTTTGACCCAATTGTTCATACGCCCGCGCATCTGTCAAATCCAAACTGACCGATCCTTTCTGTCCAGCTTCGCACCAACCTTTCCAAAAGCAAGACATTCACCTTCGGGGCCACTTCCACAGCTGGCGCCTCGTCCTCCAGACCTAAAGCACCCGCCGTGTCCAAAGCGCCCTCGCTCGCCACTCCGGCCCCCGCCAAAGACAAGAATTCAGCGTCCTCCGAAACGAAACCCACGGAGGCTTCGTCTACTAAACAGAAGCTGAAAGCTAGCGGGACAATCAATTTCGGAAAGGCTCAGCCAAAGGTGGCGGTGAAAAAGGAGGAGTCCGATGCGAACTTGAAGAATGGTAGGAAGGAGAAGGAGCAGGACAAGGCCAATGGAAAGGAGAAGGAGTTAGGGAGGGATAACAAGGACAAAACCAAAGCGAAGGAAAAGATGAGCGAGAAGGAGAAAGAGAAAGAGAAGGCGGCTGAGAAGAAAGGCGAGGGGGAGGAAACGGCGGTCGAATCATCAAAGACGAGGGGAAAGAAGGCCGAAGAGAGCGGTCTATCGAAGAAAGTCGACAAATTCCGAGAGACTCAGAAGGTAGGTCCTGATTCGTATTCTCTATATTTCTTCGTGTTCTCTCTTTCTTCACGGTACTGATGATGGCGGTTTTTCTCTCCCCATGTAACAGCGTGGCACGAAACGCAAACCCGCCATGGCTCTTTCATCCGACGAGTCCGACTCTGAGCCCTCGCCTATCGCAGACCCCGAGCCCGTCGACTCTTCTCGTCCAGCCTCGCAGGAATCGTCCCCACCACCAACTCCCAACACAAATCCTTCCTCTCCAGAGCCTCCGCCGCCCAACCAACTGATGGCCAAGGCCGCGTCAAAGTCCAGACTTAGAGCCAAAGCTGCGAAAAAGGGGCGTACGGTTATTTCTTCGGATGAGGAGGAAGAGGAAGAGGAGAAAGTCGAGGTCAGACCAATGAAGTTTGGGCCGCCGAGAGGAAAGCCGAAGCTGAAGGTTGAACCTCCGAAAATGAACGGGAACGGGAAAGGGAAAGGAAGGAAGAGAGCTATCGTCGAGTCTGATGAGGAGGACGACGAGGAGTTGAAGGCCTTGATGGATGTCGATGACGGTAAATGACGTCCGTCTCCTTCGCTACCGTGGACGGTACTAACCCTTATACCATGTTTTATGGATCTAGACCAAGTGATTAAAGCCTCTCGCCCCTCCATCAAGTCCAAGAGCGAGGAAGACGACTTTAATATGGACGACGACGCCTCTACCGCTGATCAAGACACCGTAGCCGCTGACGAGTTCAACGATGAAGATGACGACGATCCCGCACCGAAGCCCAAAGCCAAACCGAAGAAAGTGAAGAAGGTCGTTCCTGTCGGTAGAAACGGGCTAAAGAAGAGAAGGGTCATGAAGAGCAGAACAGACTTTGATGCTAAGGGCTATATGGGTGCGCTCTTGCTATCGCTCTTCAAGCTACCTTCACTCCATCGACTGACGATCTTGCCTATCTTAGTGACGGAAGACTATTCTTCATATGAATCCGTGGACGAAGAAGAACCTGAAGCTCCAAAAGCCAAGGCGAAGGCTACCAAGAAGAAGGCCACCACTGTGAAGAAAAGTGACTCCGACGAGGAATCGCAGGAGAAAGAGAAACCGGCGGCGGCGAAGTCCAAAGTGAAGCCTGGAATCAAACCGTCTGCCTCGGGTCGTGCGCTCGATCCAGCGAAATCGAAAGGTAAGGCAAGCGCGGCGAAGGTTGGTGGGCAGGGGTCGATCATGGGATTCTTTGGGCCTCAGCCAGGAAAGAAAAAGTGAGGTGATCGTATCCAATGTGGTCCCACGATAAAGATCGTGCCTTTGTGTATGCTTCCTTTGTGTATTTTCTTCTTCACGGCCTGTACGTCTAGGTTTGTTCTCCTTTTGTTGCCAATATGACTACGCTTGAGATGGCTTTCCTTTGCGCCGTGGGCCACACAACGTGAACGACGACCCCGCGTCTACGTATGTCGACGTTTATATTTCTTTCCATTTCTTTGCTTGTCCTCTCTCTGGTTTGTATCGACGTATACCTAGAGCCTCTGGCCTTGAGAGACGAATACAAAATCGTGCGCTGTATTGGACGCGTCTAGCCATGAAACGACGTAAAGCAACGAAGGAGATTACCCTTTAATACCCGCCGATATTCTCGTCTACTCTCACACATGAGTCTTCCTTCGCTCTTTTGGGCGCCCCATTCAGGTCGTCTAATGTCTTGACAGACCTGTCTCGAACTGAGCTTGCATTCATCGTCGAAACACTGAGAAATGAAGGATACTGATGAAGCATGCTTAATTTCGGTGGGATTTTTTCGGATTTCCATTAGGTGATGAAGAGATTGTTTAGAGCGTGATTCGTTGTGGGAGGCGAAGGTGTTGCCAACGTGAGGCGATAAAAAATAGGCATGTTCCTCTGGATCAATAGGTCACTTTCCTTCTCAATGGAGTTCGATGATTGTGGGTTGAAATCAACTGATGTAAGCAAGGAAGAGTTAAGTCGTTGTTCTTGTTGACTCTGCCGATGAAGATCCGAAGGTTATCGAGCCACCATATATACCCGACCGACCACGATACTATCACTTCTATACAAGAGTTGAGTCATCTGGAAGGCTACTAAAGTCGGTGGATGACGCAAAGTCCGATACACTTTGGAGTTGAATAATTGCGGGTCCATTCGAGCAATCTATCATAGTTAAGTGGAAGACATCAAAGAGCATATCAGCTCATGGTCCATGGGCCAAACCCCAATAAAAACATAGACGTACCGATGGTGTTTCGATAAAGAAGATGAAACGCTCCGAGCACTTCACGGCGAGCTTCCACGGAGTGGGCTTCCTGAACCTGGAAAGGGCCCGTAGTGTTCAAACGTATAGATACCCTGCCTATCTCAGCGTCTGTGAGGTGTATCGCGGGTGCACGCTCCTGTATCAGGTCCATAGATTTCAATATGAAGGGCGCGAATAGGCATATGGATGATGGTGTGGTACTGCAACCATTCATGGAGGAGAAGACTGTACTCCCATCATTACATTCGCATCCGAATCCGCAAGGGTTATCCTCTATCCGCATCAAAAACTCCACCAGATCTATAGTGGAGCTCAAAAGCATGCGCCAAATGGCCTCCTGCCCAAGCTCCTGGACGTGTACGATGGACATTTCGGTGAAAGCGTCTTTCGTTTCGTCCAACAGGAATTTGAGCCAGTGGCCTCTAGTGGCCGTTCTTGAGGATTCAATTCGGGTAGCGTCGCAAAGATGATGCTTGAGCATTACGTCTATGCTCTGCACCAGCTGAGAGAGCGTGATACCGTGCTTCCAGCAGATGAACCAACGGACAAGCGATTTCAGGGAGGGATGAATGGTCTCGAATGTACGGAAACCTAGCGATAGTATCGCTATGGTACCGGTCGATATGCGGGAGTTGGCTTCATATACATTGAGAACCTGGCTTATGGCCTGCAATGTCGCCGCGCGATGCGAGGTCATGATGTCGTGCACCGCGTCGTCCATACAACTTTCGGTAGACATCATGGTATCTTCAATCCAATTCCGAAGCACATTGGATGCAAAATTGAGGGCTGAATAGCAATTATCCGCCAGATGAGAGCCGCGGCCGAGTTGAGGCTGTAGCAGAATACCTAAGACGGGCGATTGAGAAACAATTTCATCTCCGATTCTTCGGTCGATGGGACCGTTGCCTAATCTGCGGATGGCACAGTAGAGAACGTGGCAAATTGCTTTTGTAAACGGGCTATTCCACAAGTTGTGCGATATGCAAGCTCCGGAGATGCTGTAGGAAGAGCGTTCGGCAGCAGATTGGAGTGCACCAACGTAGTCGGGATATTCGTCAACTGAAGAGTCGAGCCTAGTCAGCTAATCTGTCTGTCAAATTCTGATGAGTAGGTACTCGCCTCGACTCCAATCAACTCTACAGACAGCCGTGGCTGCTGTCAGATTGCAGCGAATACTGGCTTCCGATGACAATAAAAACATGATTGACTGTAGTTCGAGGGTTGTGGGTACAGGGAAATCGGAGCCATGATGGTGTCCGGCTGTCAAGAGAGAGACAAAAGCCGCTCCTGCTTGATCCAGGATGTCGTCATCGTGTGTGTGATAGAGAATAGTGTGAAAAACATCATGTTCAGGATCGGTGAGGATGAGGTTGTTGTAATAAGAGTCCTGTGAAAGATCACGGGGAAGTGATGGGGGAAGTAAAGAGTCCTCAACTCGCACGTCGAGATACGGGACTCGAGTGGGGCTGGTTCTCCGTTGAAAGAAGGCCAGTAACGAGAGGCTGGACCTGAACGGAGTTGTGATAGATTTCGACAGAAGCGCAATGATGGTATGCACGTGCACCATGATAATTCGAGAGGAGGCTGATTGAAATGGAGATTCGGCGTTATACCTGAGACCATGCAGGACGGTCCATATCATGTAAATTCCTGCGATCGTGGCACATAACGATGAGAGGATGCTGGCGACAAATAGTAGCGTGATCGGCGCAGACAACGGAGTCGAGCTGGATATGAGTTGGTCTAATAGGCTGACGACAAGCAGGAGAACGGGGAGGGCCATAAATTCAGGCAAGCCTTCGATCACCGGCGCTAGGAGATGATTGACCTGTTCCCAGCGACGATGCAGTTCTGCCAATTTCTTGTGTGCCTGCCGTTGACTAGATCGAGTTATCGTCGCCACATAACCGCGAGTCGTGACTGCGAGGACAGCTATGGTAACCTGTTGTGAGTGCAGAATGTGAGACGTTTGCATTATGATGGTTTAGAGATAACTTACACTCATAATGAGAGATAAAGACAAGTAGAAATTGGCACGAACGACGCTCGCACTGGGAATAAATGGAAGTGAGGTGGAAAGATTGAGTGTATCAGCCTTTTCGTCATTGAGAGCGATCAGAATGGCTGTCAGTAATTCATTTGTCCGGTTCTGGGGGTTTGGCGACAAGCCGTTAAGCGATTGAATGTAGAAAGCTGTGACAATCGCAGAGAAAAGAGCGACCTAGTAGCATGCATAAAATCAGTGAAAGGTAGCTTCATTCCCGTAGTATACTCACAAAGATTAGCAGGGTATCGAGAGAACCGCGCCACCTGTCTATGACAGGTTGGACGTTGCTTGCATGGGAACGCAACAACGCACTCCATGCACTTGCGCTTGTCGCAGAAACCTGTGGCAACGGTTTCCGCGAGACTTCCTCTATTACAAGATATGAAGGCCACATAAAATTTTGACTCCATTGTAGCTCAAAGACGAACGTACCAGTGGCCATCTGGCGATTATCTATCCTGCGTAAGACATCGAGGACGTCCTGTAGTACTTGATCTAGACGGCGATGCGAGCTGAGGACGAGGTTTATCGAGAGGTTGACTTTTACTCTCACTCACTTGAAGAACCGCTAATTGAATCGGCGGCGATAGCTTGTTTTAAAAGAGAGTTATTCTCTCGCTGTAGTGCGTTGCCCTCTTCTTGAAGAACACTGTTCTTGTGTAGTAGATGGACGAATACGGCCAGTTCTGATGACCTGGATACGGTAAATATTAGTGTGGACTTGTTTGATCACTGCGATTGTAGCACAAATACCTACATGACGTCGCTACAGATCAATATGTCAAGTCTTGGTCCCGGGGGAGAGAACGAAGAAGCGAAGCGACTTATATGCCAGACTGAAGCACAGCTCGAGATCACAGAACGCACCAGATCATTGTTCGAATCTGTCAACGCCGCAACGATCCTCTGTGAATCCTCCTTGGGACGTGTAGAGTGCGGTAGGATATTCGAGGTAAGTACTTATCGTAAGACCAACGTATCACGCCGAGCTAGCTCACGAGGCCCAAAGCGATAGCCACTTCGACAAAAACTCAGGACGAGAGTGTTGAAACTCCTTTCGAATAGGTTATATGGCGCCCCTTGATCAACGTGTTAGAATCAAAATTGTTCGCCTGTCGACGTGATGGCCATAAATAGTCATATAGCACCTGACATCACTGGTGGTAACCCACACAGAACGAAGGGCATTGCCTGAAATAGAGTCAGAGAACCCGAACCATGAGCACTGTGTCGTGCAGGAGATGCCAGACTTGTAGCTGTCCATATTTCGATGAAGGCACGATAGCCACATAGCTGTCCATAGTTCGATAGAGGCACGATAGCCACACTCATCATGTCGCTCAAATAAGAGCAGTGTCAATTGGCATGCTGACGTAGACAACTGTGACGTAGCTGCGAGGTTATACACGGGGGAAATGCTCGAAACACTCACACCCAGACATATTATCAGACACGGCGGGATACTGTAACAGACACATTAAGAGTAACGACGCAGTGTATTCGGAATAAATAACTCACCAGGGTCCCGAATGTCACCACCAAACGACTCCTCTCATCAACCTCCTCCCTGTCCGCACAACTTTCGCACTCCTCACGTCACCACTCTCATCAAACTCAGCTCCGACATCTACCGTACCTCCCGGGTGTTTCAGCGTCACCAACTTCGAGCCTTTCTTCTTGATCGTTCTCCGTCCTTCGGATACGGCCTTATGAGCATTGGTCCCAGGTATACGTACAGCAACGCCTAGACAAAGTCCCACCGTCATCGGGACAGCCTTATGCGGTACACCCATGGACAAAGCGCGGACTTCAAGGTCCACATCGTCCAAAGCGGGAGGGAGGCTGATGATGGCAATCTTTGGTTGCGCCTGAGCAGATGGATCCAAGCCCATACGTTCCGCGCCGGCCTTTCTGATCCATTCCAGCAAACCCATAAGTTCACCGCTGCTGAAATCCAACGGTATCACACTAGATTCAGCACCGCTGGCAGCGGCTGATTGCGCAGAACCTGTTATCTGGCACAGTGTATCGCGGACCGCAGACTCACTGACGAAGACCGTCGGATTCGTCGCATCAATCAAAGACACCTCCACCTTCACATTGACGGCCTGATTCGAATGGAAGGCCAAGGTCGGCGGTTGAAAATGTGATGGAAGCGCAAGAAAGTCCAATGGACCGCCTGTAGGAAGCAGTTTCCCCGTCCTTGCTCCTCCGGGGTTCACGAAATCCAGGATGATCTGGGATGCCATACCGGATACGCCGGCAACGCTTGCTTCCTCCATATCTAGCACCGGCACCCATCGTCGCCCGTCCTTGCTAGCTCGCTCCCTCGATATCGAGTCCGATCCGTATTCCACCTGCTCGATGGGAAAAGTATTGTCGATTCTCTTGTTCGTGTTCGTGTTCCATGCCCGTACCGTACCTCTCGCCATCTCACCATCCACATCCGTTGGGGCCGAAGTGGATATGCGAGGTACGCACATGCCCTCGTCCACTGCAAAGACGCCAATCATGCTCGACAGATTGCCACAATTTCCCGAGTAATCGACTACGCTGTCTTTGATGCCGACTTGCACGAACGTATACTCGACGTCTACGGTCGCATCATCAGAGGAAGGATATTTGGCGTGGTGGGCAGAGGAGAAGTTGTGGGGAGAGATAGCTCCGATGTCAGGCGAATTCGTAGCTGCCGTTGGAGGGGTGTTGGATGTGGTTGGTGGTCCAACGACGCATATTTTCGAAAGCGACGAGACTCCGCCTCCCATCCCGTTCAACTGCCGTCCATATTCGAGATCTGGTGAGCCCATGATCCCCAAAAAGATGCGAGGCCATTCAGCACGATCGATGGGGAGATCAGCTCTGTTGATATAAATGCCTATAAGAAAACCGTGAACGGCGACAAGGTATGGTCAGTTTCTATTGCAGCAAAGATTTTGGAAGCCTCTGAGCAGGAAAATATACAAGCGACGTATATACCTTTCGATGTTCCGCCACGCATGAAGGTCGCCGGAAGCGGATTTCGTGTTTCCTTCAAGGTCCTCGTTCCAAACATACGGCTCCGGATCTGTGGCCGCATTGCATACACACATATGTTTAGAAAATGAAAGTTCCTAGCATGCAAATTATCTGAAGGACTACTGACGTGCGGTGAAACTGCCGGTAGCATGCGAGTGGTCGCAGTTGAAGTGTACGGCAAGATCATATTGCGTGGGCTGCCCGGTGATAAGAAACAAAAGTATCGGTATGGTGAGAGAAGTATAGCCATCAATCATATTACCTATGAAAATAGGGTTTCATTGAGCCTTGCAGCCAAGCACAGGTCACTGCGTCGGGAGCGAAAGTAACAGCGGCCGGCTGAGTACTTTCAACCTTGTCGACTGCATCCAAACTTGTTTGACTACCCGGCAACACGATGAAAATACTACACGCTCATACCTTGCAAGGACCCTAGACAATATTGAGCATCCTAAAAACCCTCTGATCATTGGTTACTTACGAAGAGTCCACACAAGAAAGCCAGCAAGATTATTGGTAACGGGAGAGAGTTGCGCTCAACCGTGCCACATGGACAAGGTTACGGTAACTGCCGAGGTCCTGATCATGTCGCCACACAACACAAAGCAGTGTGGCCCATGCAAGCTCCACCCGAAAATTCGGTATTTCACGGTTGGATAAGGATCCTATACGCAAAGGTCGTAAGACAAGATTTCTATGAAGAATGTCTCAATGTATCGCGACATTCAGTACCGTCCAGGAATCGCCGCTACGTTCGACAAGTTCGCTCCTCTGGCGGCCTCTTCATCGGGATGAATGAAACCGCCATACCCTTATCATGCACGAAGATATGATCAAAAATTGAAATGGATAACACATCCAGTGCATCATCTAAGTAGAAAGTACAGCGCTAACAGCAAAACAAACATAAAGCAACGGAGCACAATCTGGACATACTCTCGGTTGACCTTCGAGTCCTGGTCGCCAATATCCATAACGCCAAACATATTGGCAAGGTCGCTCAATATCTCGTCGTCGTCTCCTACACTGCCTTGGTTTGGTACTTCGGTCCTCGCCGCATCCACTCCCTTCTCCTCCGGCAGATCCTCGTCTTCGTCCTCGATCACAACTCTCCCACCACGGGCCTCTAGCATTGCATTCAGAGCGCTGACGACGTCGCTCTCGAGGTCCTCGTTACAGGCGAGACCGAGCGTCGTGAGGGCGGGAAGTCGATCCGATAACACGCTTACCAGATCCTTGTACACGTTGTCCACAATATCATTGTTCTCCAGTAAAAGTGTTTCGAGTTCCTTCTGGTGACCATCCGCAAGGGCATGAACAAGCGCCATCGAGCCAGGAGCATTGAGTCCACAGTCTGAAAGGTCCAAAAACCGAAGTTTCCGCACGGCGGGCAAGAGCTCCTTCAAAGCCTGCCATCCATGATGCTCTCGTTCCGACATCGCAAAATCGATACCCGGATATGCATCCATCGAATTGTTATCTCGCAAGTTGAGATACCTTAGATCTCCACAACATGCCAATCCACGCAAAATCGCACCGAACCCTTCTTCTCGGATCCCATTATTTTGTAGTTCAACTTGTTGCAAGTTCGGGTGTGCCGCGAACGCTCGTGCCCAAGCCGTCGCGGATTCGTTCTCCAGACGATTCCGCCCGCACATGACGACACGAAGCTGGGAGGCCTGCCCTAAGTTTGTGCTGAGCCTCGCGGCTTCGATGAGAGCGTTGGCGACGATGGTACCCGCCTCGGGTCCGAAGCCATTATTATTCAGCTTCAGGACCTCGATATGACGGTTCTGAGTGAGAAGCGGCACAAGTATGTCCACGACGCGAGCACCAATGGCGTTGTTGCTCAGATCAAGCTCGACGAGACTCGGCTTGTCTATGAGAGCGTTGCAGATGAGAGGGAGAGCCTTCAGTACTTCGTTGGTGGAGCGACCGATGAAGATGTCCGAAAGTCCTGCGACCTAAAAGTTATGATCATGTGATGTGTAAGTGCGTCAGTGTGCGATCTCTAGATAATAATGGTGGCAATATACAAGATCGAACACAAATACTACTGGAAACGAACCTTCAGATGTTTGATTTTCTTGATCACTTCACCAAGAGCCTCTGCCGCCCCGACGCCAAATGTTACGTCCGCTAGGTATATTTCCTCGACGATACTTGCATCCAGTTCACCGATGTAAAGCAGAGCATCTTCTCGCGACTCTAATCTGAGATTCCTTCCACGGAGGTCGAATATCTTGAAATTCGGTAGCGCCATGATTGAGATCTTATAGCCTATGGCAAGCAACAAGGATGGGCAGCTTTTACTGTTGAAGACGATCCGGGTACGAGGTTATGAACGTGCAGTCCTTGTATAGAGATAGTAGTGAGTAGAGAGTGCGAGCAAGAAATCAAGTAGACAGCGAGAAAATCAAGATGGAATGCGAAGGGGAAGGAACGAAGGAACACGTTGTTCACAAAGCGCGACACCAAGGGCCAAATCCTGGTCCGATGCTCTCCGGTCCGGCCGGTGCGCCACGCATCCCAGAAATAAATTCGAAGTTGTGGCCCATCCATTCAAACGCTTCGGAACAATAGGGCATATATGTAGCGGTTCACATCAGTTTCGTTCGTCATCCTGAAAACGAAAAGTGTGAACTCGAAATCTCGAGCTAGTGCTAGATATAATACTCAGTTCACATTGAGTTTGGATCCTCGAAACGGGTCCACTTTTGCTCTCATTCCCGTCCCCTTTCCTGATGGCCTTTGATACAGTGATTCTTTTGGGATCTATGTACAGTACGTGGGCCTTCCGCCAAAGTGTGTGCTGTTTCGAACGACGTCAGTGAACGGGCAGAGGCCGGAGGATGCCCCTCTCGCATCGAAATCGCACAGAGTGTGAATTGAGCTTCGAGGCTCCAACGGGACAAAAATCAGAAGTATTGAACCCATCATGGGTTTAGTTCACATCGCAAAAACGCGATGTGAACCGCTACGTATATGCCCTAATACAGAAGATTATAACGTAGAGAATAACAATGCTTAGATGAGGAGTAGCCGTCTTGTAAGCAGACTGTTCTCATCGGAGACAGTCTATCTAATTTGCGGGTAAACCGCCACAAACATAGACTTCGCGTTTCCGTCCCCGAAACTTCTCTTTCTCCTAATCCCACGTCCCCTCCCAACCCGCACCTACGCCTACGCCTCACTCCCCACCCCCCTCGCTCCCCACTCCTCCTCCCAAATCTCCCTAACACCCTCCCTCATCCACACAACATTATACTCCACCAATCCTCTCCTCCCCTCCCAAATACTAGTAGGCAACACAGCCAGAAGAGCGAGATGAGGCGTGAGTTGGTGATAAGTTATCGTTGTCCCTTGGGTGGCGTTGGATTGGGAGGAGAGGGATAGGGAGGAGGAGGGGTAGAAGGGAAGTTGTGGGTGGGTTGTGGATGTTTGTGGTGAGGGTGATTGAGACGATGGTGTGTAAGATGTAGTCTTCGGAGTTGGAGCGACAGAGCACAGACGCAGCGGACTGTCAGATTCTGATCTTCACCACCAAGGACACATTGCGAGTAAGTCAGCAGGTCAAACCAAACTCTGAAAGCGCAGGGGAAGAGTTAAACGGCAGAGGAAGAGCAAATTACCTGTATAAAGGTCCAAAAGCATTCAAAGTCTTGATATAATCACAACAAAGTTCGTGCGTCGCACCCACTGGCGGAGACCCATCGTGCGCCACCCGCAGTCCCGACTTTATATCGAAGATGTACGCTTTTGAGGCTTGAGAATTCTGCGCGTTCGACGGTGGTAGCGATCTAGTCAATACAAGATACGCCGTATGAATTTAGACAAATATAGAACATACCGCACAAAACGAATTCAACAACTCCTCCAACCAAGGCAACGAATCCACAATCCTGCCCAGCACCTTCGAGAATGCCTCGTGCAAGGAGTGATCGTATATAGACGTGAGGTGGAAGTTGATCGGTATCATGTCGATGGCGTCGTTGGAGGGATCGGATTCGGCGAGGGCGTCTTCGAGCGAGTCGAGAATGCGGTCGTGGAGGGGACGGAAGGATTCTGTGAGAGAGGAAGATGTGTTATCAGTAAGCTTAGTATGTACTTTGCTAAAACCGTTGAGATGAACAGAGGTAGGCTGCCTGCCATGCTTTCAAAGAGCGTTTGCTCCGAATGGAATACGGTGCACCTCTCGACTTCGGCGTAGCACTGCATGTCATACAGCATTTGCCTAACAAGATCGAGAGCTCGAGCCAAAAGTCGTAATCACCAAGACACTAGCCTGACTCTCAGTCTAGATCACGTTACAGCGACTAATAATGTACATGCTAACCTAAACTCCTTTCCTAGTACTTCTAAAAGAAGAAAGGACGGATATGGTTATGGAGAACGGAATCCACATGACGGAGCACCGTGTTCGAGTCACTGGACCATGAACAGCAGAGCGTGAGGTCGGGCTCTCCCTCGCAGTCAGAAGAAGACGCGGACTTCGCGCTGAGTTTTGGACATGGTCTGAGTCTCAGTACTCAGTTAGGAGCATGTGGAGTTCGAGCACAAATGATTAGACTTGGGTGTTCCCTCTGTGAGGGACGGCTCGGTCTTACGCGTTTAGAGAGTAAGCAGAGGAAAGGAAAAGAAACAGAACCATGACCGTGTGAGCATCGATATATGTAGCGGCCTCCCACGTCGAAGCTCGCATCACGCCACACAGCACGCTCGGGCGCAATGTAAGCAGGCAATATAACGAGAAACCGAGAGAAGCTGTGCGCTGGACCACGTCTTCACAAAAGAAGGAAATTCGAAAACTCATATGGAGGGACGAAGATAGCGACGATGCCGTATCGCGCCAAAGGAATGTATGTGTGTGCATATGTGTGCGGATGATTGTGACTCTGGACTCTGGGGATAGCACGAGAGCTAGCCACAACGCGAGTCCCACACAGAAGGCGAGGTAAGAATGCAATGAACGGACATACCGTACTTGTACTCATCAGCGATTGCCTCGGACTTGTGTACAAAGACTTCGAGCGGGGTGGTGGGGCATTCCTGATACGCTTGTGTGAAGAAGTGGAGAAGACGAGAGATGGGGTGTGGATAAGAGTCCTTGTATCATAAAGTGAAAGAACAGAGACCGAGTAGAAGTCAGTGAGAATCAGAAGAGTTGGAGGGGATAAGACGGCATAGTACGGTGGGCTATGTCGAAAGAGTTCGAGGAAGGATATACCAGGTGAAAGGTCACGTACTTGGATATCAATGACAAAGATGATGAGGGAGAAACGGGAGAGAGGAACACCGAGGGAGTCTGTTGTGGCATTCCCAGGACAGTCCCAAATCTCGAGTGGAATGACTGTACTGGTCAGACCGCAGAATCAGGAGCTGATTGCGCTCGTCGGGAGGAGCGATACGCACTCGTATCTGTGCTTCAGGATACGGGTTGTGGGCTCCAGATAGAACGTCTGCTTGGGGACGCCCTCGTTGAAAAGGACTTGTTGGATGGACGTCTTCCCACTCCTGAACGACGGCGATCGGGAAAAGGTCAGGGGGTGCTCACTGCGCGTCAACTAGGACTATGGGCAGCCGAGGCTCACAGACACACCTTCGCTGGCCGAGCAGTAGGATTTTCGTCCTGTAAATATCGTCGCTCATCGTGGTCTCGGTCGACGAGGAAGCAGGCACGTTCATGGTCGCCGACGACGAACACGAGCTCGCAAAACGGGATACCCGAGTGATGGCGCCGGAGCGGGGACGCGCAAACGTGAGTGATCGAGATTTGCGTAAAACAATTTCAGAGATCGCCGGCGGGATCCGACAGATTGGCTGCCTGGGGATTCTTTTTGGAGGACTGGAACGGCGGATCACGTAACGCACGTTCGTTCGTCTGCGAATGCGATTCGACGTTGACCGACGCTGAAGTTTGTGGTCGTGTGCCCCAAAGGCAATACAAGTACCTTCGTCGCACGCCGCTGCTCTGCTTAACCTCCTCCATCTGATCCCTCCCCCTGTCTCTCCTTCGTTGACGACTGGTCATGAAGTTCGGAAAGAAGATCCAGGTGCGTTTCGGGTGGCACCCTACGCTGTCTTCTACTCATCTTTGCTCTTCTAACAGACGACGCTCTACGATGAGTGGAAGCCATCATATCTCGACTACAATGGCCTAAAGAAGCTTCTCAAGGTCCGGATACAATTCATGTCCTTTTGGCTCGTGTTCTTACTGACAGGAGTTCGCCGCACATTACAGCAAAGGACGACAGGCAATGATTGGAACGCCGAAGACGAAGCCTTCTTCGAGCAGAGGCTTGAACAAGAGGTTGACAAAATCTACACCTTTCAAGCCGAGAAGGTGCGCCGCTATGCCTTCCACTCCACCCTCCGTCCTTCCTCCGGTGCGCTCTGTGGCTCCTCCGACCCTCGCGTTCCCGTCTTCTCCGTATTGCCCGTACACGTTCGCATGTCACTGACCGCATTTGTTTTCTTTGCTATTTGCTTCACGTTCGTCTTGGGATCCTATTCCTCTATTGCCAATCATCGCCGCACTTTCGCCTTTCCTCGGTTCCGATTCTGCCTCTTTGTCGGCGAAATGTTAGACGTCGCAATTCGCGTCCCGTATCCGTGAAGCCCAGAAAAAGACAAAACGATTGATGTCCGAGACTTACATCTCCGAAGGCCGTCATCAATCCCAATCCTCCCACTCCCAGTCACGTCACAGCCGAAGCACCAACGATATACAAGCTACCTCAACCACAGCGCGCGAAGGCGACGACACAGAGGCGCAAGTCCGTTGCCACGACTATGCTCAAGATGCCGGCTCGGATGACGATTCCGACGACGACGTCGACGGGTCGAGCGAAGATGGGGAGGACGACAGACATTCGTTTAGTAGTCTGGATTCGATCGAGGAGCAGTGGCATTTGTTGGATGAGGAGGTTACGATCCTTGTTGCGGATGTGCATGATTTGGCTTTGTATTCGAAGTTGAACATCACTGGGTTCATGAAGATCTTGAAGGTTTGTGTTTTTGTCCACTCACAGTTGATAAACATCTGACCATCATATTCCGCTACGCAGAAACACGACGTAAGACCATATTACATTCAGACTCTCCGCGTTCTTTCTCTGCTAAAATCCTCATATCACACTCCCGCTCTAGAAACAAACCCCAACACCCCTCAAAGAACGCTTCATTAACCAATACCTCGAAAAACGTCCCTTCTACAAATACAACTGGGACGCCCTCATCGTCAAGCTCTCCGACTTATACAACATCGTCCGCACCCGTGGTCGTCCCGTTCTCGGAGACAGCAGTGCGGGCGGGAGCCAGAGCGCGTTTGTGAGGCAGACGACGAAGTACTGGGTGCATCAGGATAACTTGGTGCCGCTGAAGCTGGCGATCTTGAGACATCTGCCGGTGTTGGGTACGTGCATGTGATTTTGCTTTGGAGCGAGAGGGATAGAATTGACGTCTGTCCCTGCTGATATAGTGTTCAATCCGGATAAGGAGTTTGAAGATAAGGATGCAGGTCAGTTCCTTGGCTACCTCTGCGACGGGAAATATTTCCATCGAATTAACTGAATTTATTGTTCTTGTTGATAGCTATCACCTCGATCTACTTCGACAATGAAGACCTCGAACTTTACCTTGGCCGTCTCGAGAAGACAGAAGGCGCAGAAGCGGTTCGTTTGAGGTGGTACGGTGATATGGACGTCACCACGGTACGTTACTCACTCACTACTCCCTTTCTCCTCACGCAACACTCAACCACCAACATCCGCTCATCATCCACTCCCATAGATCTTCGTCGAGCGCAAAACACATCGCGAAGACTGGACGGGTGAAAAGTCCGTCAAAGCCCGTTTCCCGATCAAAGAGCACAACGTGAACGCTTTCCTTCGCGGCGAATATACCATGGATGCCGAGTTCCAGGCATTGGTAGAGAAGGGTAAAAAGACGCAGCAGCAGGTGGATGAGATGTTGCAGCTCGCGAATGAGGTGCAGTATAGTATATTGACGAAAGGCTTGGTCCCCGGTATGTTCATGTCCCTTCCCCTTTTCCCCTCAGCTCTCAGCTTTGTTCTCGGGCCTTACTAGGCCCTGATGCTACGCATGCTCGTCAATATTGACGTGCCTCTTGGGTTTGATTTGTGAACAGTGATGCGCACATTCTACAACCGAACCGCGTTCCAGCTTCCGGGCGACGCCCGAGTGCGGATCTCGCTCGATACCGAGCTGACGATGGTCCGTGAGGATAATTGGGATGGCGCGGAGAGGGCGGGTGATAATTGGAGGAGAATGGATATTGGGATCGATTGGCCGTTCGATCAGTTGCCGCAGGAGGATAAGGAACTGTTCAAGTGCGTTTCTTCGTCCCTGCCCACTTCATCATCCTGCGTCCTTGGCTTCTGCTATGTAAGTAGTGATTTACAGACTAACGGTGTGTTTTCTGCGAATTGTAGGTACGGTGTGTTGGAGGTGAAGCTGCAGACGCAATTCGGACAGGAACCGCCAGAGTGGGTGACTGAGCTCGTCAACTCGCATCTTGTCGAGGCCGTTCCGAAGTTCAGGTACGTTTTTTTATTCTTTGTCACTACCCCCAACTCTCCTCTCTGTCCTTCTGCAGGATTTTGCCATATTCACCCGCCATCCTCTCCCTCGACATTTGGTTACCTTTCGTCGGGCTAACGGGCATATAATCTTGGACAGTAAATTCATTCATGGATGTGCCACTTTGATGCCTCACCGCGTCGACCTCGTCCCGTTCTGGCTCCCACAAAGTACGCGTTCCATCTCCTCACTGTGCTAAACCTAAACATAAAACTGATCACATCAACCCAACGTAAAACACTCTTACTCCCCTCCAGTGGACGTCGACATCCTAAAACCCAACACCGGCTTCCTCACCGTCGAACGTCCCTCCGGCCCCTCCACCTCCAACTCCGCCTCACACTCCAAAACCGCGTCCGAACGACACATCTCCTCCGGCTCCGCGACGCCCGAAACGCCCGATGACGAGCGTGCGCGGATCCAGAGCAGGCGGTACGCCGAGCCGGTGTCGGAGGGCGAGGAGGACGAGGATATGGATATGGCGCCGGCGAGGGATGAGGGGAAGAGGATGGGGTTGAGTGTGGAGGAGGCGGCGGGGGCGATTGCGTTTAGGGAGAGGATGTTGAAGGAGAGGATGAGCGCCGCTGCTGCTGCTGCTTCTTCTTCTCCTGGTAATGGTCGTGATGGTGTGGCCAGTGATGCTAATGGGGCGGGAGAGGGCCCGAGTGCGATTCATTCGGAGGATGAGGGCGAGGATGGGGATGGGGAGGAAGAGGGAGATGAGAGGACGCCGTTTTTGGCGGGGAAGAACAGGAGGGCTTCGAGGACGGGATCGAATCAGAATGGGAATGGGAACGGGACGGTGGAGAGGCCTGCGATCAAGCTGGATATCAACCCCTTGGCGCCGTCGACGGAGGTGTATGATAAGGTGAAGACGGCGCTCGAGGAGAGGGAGCGGGAGCAGAACCGGAGTAGGAGTAGGAGCCATACTCGTGATGGAGAGCAACAACATGATGGCGAAGGTGAGGGTGATGATGGTGCGGATTTGGAGGCGGCTGGGAGGTCGAGAGCGGCTGGAGATGATAGGATTTTGGTTAATGATGTTGTGGCGCCGAAGGGGAAGAGGGTGGCGATTCCGATCAGGATAGAGCCGAAGGTGTATTTCGCGACGGAGAGGACGTTCTTGGTAAGCTCTCCCTCCTCCGCATCTACCCTCTTTCCCTACACCCTCCTTCCTTACACCCTCATAACTAACTCATTCCACCCCTCCCTCCCACCACAGAAATGGCTCAACTTCGCAGTCTACATCGGCACCATCGCCACGACCCTTCTCAATTTCATTCCCCCGGAGGACTACCACGGCCTCATCTCCGCCACGCTCTTCACCATCGCCGCACTCTTCGCCATCCTCTACTCCGCCGGCATATTCTTGTACAGGGCGATGAAGCTGAGGAAGAGACATACGGATGGGCTGTATTATGATAAGTATGGGCCGACGGCGCTGTGTGTCGTTTTGTTGGCGGCGTTGGTGACGAATTTGGTGTTGAGGTTGGGGGAGGTGGTGGATGGGGAGGATTAGGGACCCCGCCGCAAGACGTGAGCGAAGCGAGAAGTCCGGTTGATTGGTGGTGGTGGTGGTGGTGGTGGTGGTGGTGGTGGTGGTATATGTGATAATGGACTCTGTTTATTTTATTGTTTGGATCAGATGCATGCACGGTTGGATGTGCGACTCGGACGATTTCCCACTTTTTCTCCTCCTCCTTTTTTGCTTTCTATTGTTCTCAGATCTCAAATTCTCGTAGTCGGACTCGTATCCTTGCCGATCTTTACCCATACACCCTCGCTCATGTTCAACGTACATTATTCATTCAAGTTCAAGTCCCATCCTCCGTTTGCTTTGCTCCCATCCGTTTCATTTCAAGTTCATATATACTTGCTGTAGTCCTTCTTTTTGCTCTCAACGTACATAGACACAAGTTACTCTTCAGGTCCCGTATAAATAGAATATGTATTTCATGCTCAGGCCCCGCTGAAGATCTTGACGTCGACAGCGTGGGGTATCATACACCCTCGAAAACTTCCGTTGACGATTTGCATGGCCCTATTACCGGGAACGCCGGTACTCAGGGCGTTCCACTGAACGTCCCTCTGCCTCACGGATATCGTTCTGAACTGCTTTAACCGAAGCATTCGTATAGCTAGCATGAGAGGTTGCTAGGTTCCTAGTACTAACCGGTCTCTTCGGCCAGCTAAATTAGCAAGGCACGTTGTAGCTGAATACGACGTCACGATACTCGAGGAGAGATGTACGCTGTAAACTTTTCGATAAAACTGGTAGACTTATTCCTTTCAAAGTGGGGCCTGACCGATTTTTGCGGATAATTCGTACGAATTAGTCGTGATTCGGACACCGAGAATTGAACGGTGATATAATATTCAGCGTCTATACGCGTATGACAGCGGCAAACGAATCGTTGTCAGAAAGCGGAAGCCGTCTTGTGTGGCCCAATGCGATACAGGATGATCCGACCTCCGAAACGCTGACCGCTAGCGCCATTCCGAGTTCACAGGAGGGGTCAAGTGACCGTGCAAAGTTTGCTGCGGGTTGGTGAGAACACAAGTCCTCCAGGTTCAACAGCGTGAGGAGTGTGGAACGGGTGAAGATAAAGAGAGAGAAAGAAAGGTAGAAAAGAGCCGAGGGACGTTGCCGGGGAAACACGAGAAGACCGAAGTGGCGGCGCGTTGGGTGAAGCGATGCGGAATTGCTGTTCGGCCACAGCCTCTCTCTTCCTCCTCCCTCTTCGCACCAGCAAGGTGCGACCACCGCCATCAGCCGCAGCGACGACGACGAACAGTTCAGAAAGTATACCTCCCTAGCGCTCTAATACCCCTCTTCAACCCGACCCCTCCTTACTTTACCCGACAATGAGAGCCTTCGTCCCCTCGCGGGCCGTCCTAGCCATCCTCGCCTTCGCTGCCCTCACCGTGCTCGCACACGACGCAGATCCCCCATCACGACATCCTAGACAACTCCTCGGGGGCGTTACCGAGACAGACACCAGCAGCACAGACACGAACACAAAGACGACAGCCACCTCGACCACAGCTGCTGCGACGACGACGACCTCTGCACAGAACACGCAGACCACGACCGCCAATACCCAGACCACAACATCCGCCGCCAACACCCAGACCACGAACACTGCCAACACTAACACAAACACAAACACCCAAACTACCCAGACCACCGCGGCACAGACGACCACATCTGCCAACCAGCCGTCGAATACCCAGACTACGCAGGCGACTACCAAGGCCTCAACAAATGCTCCCCCCCAGGCCACCACTTCGTCCTCCCAGGTCATTACTACAAATGCTGAGGGCCAAACAGAAACGTCTGTAGTTATCGTCACGTACACACCATCGGCTTCCTCGTCGTCTGCATCATCCAGTTCTACCGCCGCCTCGGATAACAGCGGCAGTGGTAGCTCTGGCACGTCCACGTCCACCATCATCGGTCTTTCCGTTGCAGGCGGAGTCGCGCTCATCGGAGTGATTGCGTTCTTCGTCTGGAAGTTCACCCACAAACGTTTCTCTGATCTCGACGACAGTGCGTCCCCGTTCTTTTTCACCTCTTTTCACTTCCACTCATCAAAACCTCCTATCTTCCTCTCGAATCTGTAGACGAAGCCATCAAATGGCCGGAACTGAACGCTCACAACGACGACTACCCACTACCCGCCGCACGCGCCCCCTACGCCGACTCGACGACCGACCTCGGTCGCGCTAACTCTCGTGGTGGCGCTTACGCCCCTTCCATTGGCGCCACATCCACCAGCGAACTCTACCCCGCCAGCGCCTCCACCGACCCTTACGCCGTCCCACCGCTCCCCCACCTCAACCCGAACCAACCCGCACACGTCCAACCCTACATGGACGACCCATCAGCCGCGTTCTACGACCCCTACCGAGGCCCCGTACCGCAGACGTTCAACGATCCTAATCAGGTAGTTGCGATGGGCGGTATACCAGGGGAGGCGATTCCCATGACACAGTTGGGAGCAGGAGCGATGGCAATGGGTGGGATGCCAAATGGTGGAAGGAATTCGCCAGGTCCGGGGATGATGGCGGGTAGGAGGAGTCCCGGGCCTCAGGCACCGTTTGCTTTCGGTGAAGGAGGTGGAAGCATCAGGACGGCGAGCCCGGCGCCGCCGGCGTATGGTGGTGTCGACAGGGCCAGGAGTCCTGGGCCAGCGGCGGCATATGGTCCTCGGTAGTGTTCGGTAGTGGTTGTGTGTGTTTGAGACGGAGCGGTGATGCCGGATCGGGTAATTCGTCTGATGGGTGGTTGATGGGTCTTGGCGTGGGGGTTTGAGATGCGTTGGGAGCCGTTGGGATCTGAAAGAGGATGGAGGTTTCCGTTTGTGGCCGTGGGATTGTTCTGATGGATGGACGGACGGACTGGATGGACTGGTAGAGTCGTAGCTGTTGGAAGGCTCAAGTTCCATACCCGAGGTTCTTCGTTGAGTGCAGAACGCCGGCGTTGTTTTGTCTTTCGTTTTTCTATCATTTCGGTCGCCATCATTTCCATCCCATTATTATCTGGACTCATCAGGAGCCATATTCCGTCCCACCGATCACGTTCGTCGTCCCCGCAAGCTTTCAGTCATCTTCCCCTACAAGAAGTTCATTTTTTGGTGTTCACTGTCTGCCCGCTGTCACTTGTCATCCTCGGAAAGCTAATGGTCGTATCCAACTTATTCGCTATTCATGTTCATTGTTTGTCGTTCGTCAAGTTATTATATAGTCCTTTTTTTTTTTTTTTCGTTTGAGTCCTTCGTTTCAATTCAGTTTCCTCCCGTCAATCTACTGTTTTCCGTCTCTTGTCTCCGTACGTTCGTTATCCTATCACCGTTTTATCATCACTCTCAACCATCATGATCTATAACATCCATTTCATCTTTCATTCTTCGTTCAGCGTTCAACACCTTCAATCATCGCCGCCCGCGCTCACGGTAACAATCCAGTCCGACTCCAGTCCAGTCCAGTCCAGTCCAACCCCCTCACATCACGTCGCCACGCCACGCCTCTCCTTCCTCCTTCCTTTTTTTCTCCCGCTTCCGTTTCGTACTCTCGCATCATCATCGTCCCCACCACCATCGCCCGCCATTCATCCCATCCCATCCCCCTTGTCGTCTCTCGTCTCTTTCCTACTCTGTCTCCCCTGTCCGACATCGACAATGACAATGACACGAGGATACCCATCCAGCATTTTCTTACTTCCACTTTCGCTTCGTTGTTCGTTTTTACATATTTAATCCTTTCCCTCTTCTTCCCTCTTTCTTTTCTTCACTTTCTCCTGTCAATTTCACGTTTTTATTCCCCTTCGCGGTCGAGTTTTGAGGTATCCGCTAGCGAGTGGATAGGATTTCAGATTTCAAGAAGCAGACAAACCAAACGAGCAACGATTCGAATTCTAGTTATTAATTTTCTTTCCCTCCACATTTGACGGAAGAACTGAGCTGGAGTCGAGTAGGAGTCGGAGTCGGAGTCGGAGTGGGTACATACAGTAATAGTGCTGCTAGTAGTATCGGTATCGGTATTTGCTTTTCTTTCGAGTACATATATAGAGACTTGGAACGGATGGGTTCGTGTGTGAGTTTGCGCAGTGAGCGCTTGAGCACGGGAGAGTGTCCCGGTGGGTGCGCAAAACGGTGAGTGGGTTGAGTGGGTGGATGGATGGTGCCAGCGGATAACTTAGCTGTGTGTGCAGGTTAGTCGAGATGATGAACGCGCAGCCTTGAGCCTGAGAGCTCGACTAGGAGTTGAGATTTGGATCCCTGGATGCGGTGACCATCAATATTAATGGTTCGATGGGCCTTGGATGGGCCACTCCGCCACTTCCGAGCGAGTTCAACATAAACCGGGGCTGAGGCGCTCGGCGAAACGCGATGTTGTTGGATTTTGGAGCCAAGACGAGCTTTGTCTTTGTGTCGACTCCTTGTGCATCCGCCTTCAAGCTTCATACTACGGCTCAGCGTTTGGATTGCTCTCAGCTCAGTTTCCTTTGATTTTTTGTTGGATTTGATTTCTCGTTCAGCCTGGCTTGACACACTGTTCATGAGCTTCCCCCTGTTCGTCCCCGGCGGATCGTCTTACTTTTACATTTGTGACCACCGCCGAGCTGCTAAGTAGATTTTTACCCACTGCTCATCGCTCATAATAGGGATCATACAATGTCATATTGTTCTGTTGTATTTTGATAGAAGGGCCTTGCTCACGGGGCGCCCGTGTAATCTGTACCAGTGGCGCCGATGTTTTTCTCTTACGCCACAGCTGTGGCAGTCAAATGCGTCACTCCGGATACAGCACTGTCTCGTCTCTACCAGCAAAAAATAGCCCATAGAGCAGTGCACGAATGCGCTATATTCTTCAATTTTATAGCGCATAAGACTTGGTTCTTCCCAGCATCGGCGCTCTTCAGGCGGTGCTTGATCCACGCCGGAACCGCCTTTCGCCGCACGCATTCCGAGTACGGGCAAAGGGTTGACGGCGCTCCTGCTCTCCTTCCCTCCTTACTCCCTCTCGTTCGCATCTGACTTGGGTGCTCACGGAACAATATGTCGGAACCAGCACCCACTGACGGTCTGCGTTTACTTGCACTGGGTACGCTCTATTCAGTCTCTTGGTCTCTGGGCCATCGTTGATATTTGTTGATAGATGGTGGCGGCATCTGTGGCCTGTCATCCCTCCAGGTCTTATGGAACATCATGCGCGAAATCCAACTCTCGGAAAATCTAGAGAAGATGCCGTTGCCTTGCGAATGCTTTGATCTGATTGGTGGTACGAGCACGGGAGGGTACGCTGACGCAAAATACCTCACAGCGACTTAGCAGATCACTCATCTAAAATCCTCTAGGATCATTGCGCTCATGCTAGGCCGCCTTCGCATGTCTGTTGACGACGCCCTCCACAAGTATGCGGAGCTTTCAAAGGATGTCTTCTCAGACATACAGTTTCTTGGGGATGGAGCTTTCAAGGCGAGTAAGCTAGAGGCTGCGATAAAGAAAGTCATCTCAGAGCAGCCCGCATCTACGCGTGATTCGGAGGCGAGGATGAGGGATGATGCGCCCTCTGGTGCATTGTGCAGGACGTACGTACCAAATAACATTCTCATCTTCAGGACGGACCAGCATTGACAATTGATATTGGTTCTAGTTTTGTCTGCGTCACGGTTCCAAACGCTTTAGGTGCACCCACTCCCACGCTCTTCCGGACGTACGAGCCTCGCCACGGACGGTTCATCAACTGTAAGATCTGGGAAGCCGCTCGCGCCACATCAGCTGCACCTACGTTCTTCAAGCCGATCGAGATTGACAATGGATTTGGCGTTCGCAGCCGCTATACTGACGGCGGAATCGGTCATAACAACCCCGCCAGCGTTGTTCTCCATGAGGCATCTTCGATATTCCCAGAGCGAAAAGTCGCTTGCATGATCAGTATTGGGACTGGAAAGCTAAGGTCGTCTAGACTCGCTAGACCTGGTTTCATACAGCGTATTCTGCCACGCATCGATGTCGCTATCGCTCTCACAAAGATCGTCACAGACTGTGAGAGGGTTGCGGAGGATATGGAGCGCCGCTTCCATAATTCCCCAGGTGTCTATTTTCGTTTCAATGTTGACCAGGGCATGGAGGATGTTAAGCTGGGAGACTGGGAGAAGCTGGACGTGGTAAATGATGTCACCGAAATGTATCTGAGGTCTACGACAGTCTCGAAGACGATGACAGACGCTGTGGTAGCTGTACGGGCTCGACGCGGAGTCGCTTTGGCCGTCCAAGATAGTATGTTCTAGTCGTCGCATTCTTCTTCAATTTCATTCAAACTCATGGTACCCATAGATGGTGCGCTTGCAAGAAATGAGCCATCCATGTAGAATTCTCTCGTCACTACAGACCAGAAAAAGAGAGATCGTAAAGTCATCCTCAAACACTCGTAATAGGCTCTCCATCCTCCGACCCACCAGCCCTCTTCTCCACCATCTCAACCTCACCCTTCTCCACATCCGCCTTAATGCTCTCATCGACCTCATGCGGCCCCTCCCTCTCCCTCAGCTCTTCCACCGGAATCGCACGCTTTCCGCCCAAGAACAACTTGCCGCCGGGCGCATCCTGCAACGCTCGAACGACCGTGTCGCTCTCGAATAGGTATTTGATGTCTTCGAGCGCGTATCCCGCGGTTTCGGGGAGGAAGATGTAGACGCAGATGGCCATGGTGATGCAGCAGAAGCCGAAGAGGAGGTATGTTCCGTATGTGATTTTGTTGAGCATGATGGGCGTGAGCTTTGAGATTGTGAACGAGAAGAGCCAGTTGACTATGATCAGGTAAGTTAGTATTTGTCCGTTCATCTACCAGGATCCACGATAACGAGCAGACAACATACCAGCAATAGCGAGAGACATCGCCGCCGTCCGAACGTGATTCGGTGCCACCTCACTCGCCACGACCCAAGGGACTGGCCCCCAGCCGACGCAATAGAACACGGCGTACAGGTAGACAGCGACCAAAGAAACGTAGCTTGCAGGGATGATACCCGATTGCGGATGAAGGGACGTGAATCCGCCCAACCAAAGCATCATGAGTCCTTGACCGAGGCCTCCTGCGATAAGACAGTTCTTGCGGCCCAAACGTTCTACGGCGAGCGCGAGGACGAGGGCTACTGCGATGACTTTGACTACGCCGTAGATCCCTGTGGCGAATAGACCGCTGGTCGTGCTGGATAGACCGAGATTTGCGAAGATCTCCGGGCTGAAGTAGTTGATAGCATTCTGGGTAAATCGGTGTCAGCGTAAGTCTATCAGATGTGTTCGACAATGAGTATATCGTACCGTTCCCGTCCACTAAGAAATCGAGAGTATCGTTGTTAGTTTCAATTATTACGGACTGTTGTCAAGAAACGACGGACCTGTTGGCCGAACATGACCAAGGCTGGAATGACCGAGCGAATGATTATAGGGCGAGTTTCGAACATCAGCTTGAACTGCCTCAATAGAGGCGTTTGCTCCTTCCCTGCGAAGTCGTCCTTGATCTCCTCTAATGTGAGAAGGACTGCAGGATCAGTCGGCAACTTCCCAGAAGCGTAACCCAGAGCCCTTGCGGCCCTGTCGTACTTTCCGTGCTCGACGAGCCATCTAATACGCTACGTTAGTCATACACTTATGATGTGTGCGAGGGAGCTTCTTTACTCACCTCGGAGACTCGGGCTGCCAGACCATGCAGAAGATGAATAGAAAGCCTGGCACGATCTGGACGATGAAGGGCATTCTCCATTGCATCTGGCCAGATGGCAGGTTGAGCGACGAGCCGTAATTGACCCAGACTGGAAGGAGCCCATGTGAATCAGTAGTGCACCAGCGCCCACAACGGCATGAATGGACCTACAGCTCAACATAATCCCCACGTTATTGGCCAGTTGGACCATGCCCGTGCAACGCCCACGTATTGACTTGGGTACACATTCTGACACATAACTGGGCACCAGCGCGGATACCATGCCCACTGTGGGTCGCGACGAGGTTAGCTGAGACGCTCTGAGAAGACCATGTGGAGCACTTACCTCCGATACCTCCTACGAATCGACTGAAGTACAATACACGAAGGGCGACTCGTTGACTGCTTCCTAGGCCGACGATGCACTGTAGTATGCTGCCCACGATGTATATCACACCCGATGCAAGGAGGACAGGTTTCCGGCCGAATCGCGAAGAAAAGTATCCTGTGAATAGAGCGCCGAAGCTGCAAGACGTATGAGTATCTTGCCGGGTAGAGGTCTGTCAAACAATGCAGCTTACAAGCTACCAGCCTGGAGAATGGCCACGATGTTGCCGTTCAGATCAGCGAGAGCTGAGGACGAGAGCTTGTCTGTCCCGATGTAGCTCTTGAAAGAGGCTAACGAGATTACACCTCCGATGAGGCCAATGTCCCAGCCGTAGAAGATGGAGCCCATAGAAGCAGACATGGCAAGCACGTAGGCGTGCCTAAAGGTAAGGACATGGTGTACAAAATCTCGATAGGTCATTATGGAGTTCGAGCTGTACGCGCTTTGAAGTTCAAGCTTGCGTAGATGTCGTTTCCGAGGGGTGATGTTCGGTAGGGATCAGTGGGATAATCCGAGGATGATTGCCGTCGACCTGAGGGAACGAAACCCATAACGAGAAATACGACGATGCTTTATAGGTCAGGCGGCCTGCAATATACACAATAGTCTAAAGGAGGTCACCCGGTCTCTGTTGACAAGACTCACACTTTCACAGGCGAAATTGACAGCGCTTGTTGGGGGCCGCCGGCCCGCACGATGACGGTGGCGCAGTGGCGTAGCCCATGTATCTGAACTTCGACGCGACCACCGCCATTAATATTGCTCCAAGACGTGCCTCTTCCAGAACGGCCGTACGGGTATTTCTCTTATCAATCGTGTATGTACTCGCGCTGATCTCCTAGATGTGGAAAGCCTGCTCAAAGACATTCACTCAGTGCATGCCGTGCGAAGCATCGGGATCTGCTTCGCCGTTCTTCGCAGAACCAACTTTGTACTACTGGACCTACTAATTCTGCGGTAGGAGAATACCAACAATATTCTACGCAAAATTCTCACATCGCTTTTCTATTCATCTCCAGGAGTATTGTCTTTGCGCACTCTCGAGGCGGCGTACTGGCATCGGTCTCGAGCAATCTCTCGATAACACCCTCTTACTGGGGCCACATATCCTCGTTGAGGCCGTTACATACCATGAGTATGAGTCTCGAAGACTCTCTCCAGCGAGTTCTCACCAACCAGTCACCTCTCGAAATCATCTATGCTTCTCATCCACTATGGCCCCTCCCAGCCCCTCCCAGCCCTTCCACACCGATCCCTTATCCACTCAGTATCTCCGTTCTCGACTCTTCCTTCAACCCACCTACTCTCGCGCATCTCGCACTCATCTCTAGCGCACCCCCCACTCTATCTACCACCGGCGACTACTCCGCCCGTCTCCTACTCCTCTCAGTCCGTAACGCTGACAAAGCTCTCAAAGCCGGAGACGCGACGTACCTCCAACGAATGGAGATGATCCGAGTTCTCGCCACGGAGGATTTATCCGGAACGAACGTCGCAGTCGCTATCGTTGACGAGCCCACTTTCGTGGGCAAATCGAAGATCCTGCTTTCCACGTTACGATCGCGTTTAGAACACAAGTTGTTATCTGAGGTCGAGAGTGGCGAAGGCCCGGTACGGATTCCCAGCCTCGAGTTGACCTTTCTGCAAGGATTTGATACCTTGGAGCGTCTTCTCGCTCCACGGTACTATAACAATTCGGAATCAGAGATGCATACAGCGTTGCGTCATTTCTTTTCGGCGGATGGCGATGATTCTCGGGTCGTTTGTGCTCGTCGTACCATGCCCGCTAAGGACGGACAGCCGCAAAGTACGACTGACGAAGGGATGCAGGTTGTGCTCAAGTCCGGGAAGGAGTACATCGAGGCGGGGCGTATCGTGCTGATGGAGATCGGTGAGGACTTGCAGAGGCTGAGTTCAAGCGAAGTACGAGCTAGGGTTCACGCGCGGGACGAAAGGTGGAAGCAGATGGTGACGGGCAGCGTGGCGAAATATGTAGAACAGGAAGCATTGTACCTTGCAGCATCTGTCTGATTTGTACTCGATATACCAGGACATACCTCTGTATGCCAGCGAACGAGATCGAACGAGAGAATGAATGAGACAAAATGAAATTCTATTCCGATTCCTTTTACTATTCGTGAGATAACATACATATATAGCCGACGAGACACAGATCATGATGGGAGAGACAACAGAGGAGAAACGATGGATAGAAGCAGAGTAAACGAGACATTAGAGCATCGATGGAAACGTGAGACAGACAGACAGACGACGTGCGGGACCATGAGATAGGATGCGACGGGACAATGACATGAGAGAGAAGAAAAAATAGAATCAAAGCGTTCATGATGACGAGGCTTGGGCGAAGGCAATCGCGATGGTCTGAGAAGGAACGAAGTCAGATCAGACGAACTATTGAGTAGGCGAAATTAAAAAGTACTCACATCCGAGTGGCTCAACGACAACAACACATTCGACACACCCTTGCTCTCGGCAGCGGCTTTCGCGTCACCGTGAAGAGTAACAGTCGGCGCACCCTCCTCGTTGGGAAGAATCTCGATATCCTTCATCGCGGCCGCGGCGCCCTTCGAGGCAACACCGAGCGACTTGAAGACGGCTTCCTTCCCGACCCAACGAGCGGCGAACGATGCTGGAGGCGATGGTTGAGAACGGCAGTACGTGACCTCGGCCTCGGTGAAGTTGCGCTCAACGAAGGTCGGGTTGCCCGATGGCACTGCGGAGATCAGCTCTGCAAGGGAGAAAACATGGTGTCAATGACAATGACACGAAGGGCGAGAAGAATAAGCCACGAACCTTGGTCGACGCCAACACCACTTGTTCCGACAGCAGCCTTGAGAGACTCCTGGACGGCCTTGACATTCGCGACGTTCGGCTTGTGCTGTGTCTCCATCTTGTCCGTGAACACGTAGCTGTTCGTCTTCTTGTCGAGAGAAGCGCGAGCGAGCGAGTTGAGCAAGACGGGACCTTCGAGTTCCTTGGAGTATGGTGGGTGTTCCTTGATCTTGACCAAGGAGTTGTGGGTCATCATCTCCGTCATCGCCTTGTACGACTTGAGGTAACGGGCGTTGTTGCGGATCTTGTACGACTCGTATGCAGAGGTCTCGAGAGCGCCCAAAAGGAAACGCGGGTGAATGACAAGGGCAGTACCACCGACTTGGCCGAAACCGAACGACGACTATACGAAAAGATCAATATCCAGTGAGGTTAAACGGGGGATAACGCAACATACCATAACACCAGCACGAATACCGTCGGTATGGATGGACTTCGAGGGGAACATGAGGTACGTGTATTTCTGGAACTTCGGGTCCACGTTGTCGTTGTTCCGGTTGCCGGGTACGATACCGGAGTGTACACTCTGCAAGAGACCGGCCATCTGCCAAGCAGCGGCTCCACCCTTGGCGTGACCGAGCAAGCTCTTCTGAGCCATAACAGGAACAGCGTTGCCCTTCGTGCGGGAGAGGGTGCTGAAGACGTCGTTCCAGATGTGAGTCTCGTTAGCCTCGTTCGCGCTAGTACTGGTACCGTGGATAGACAAGACACCGATGTCGTCAGCGGACAGACCCCAGACGGCCAGAGCACGGCGGAGAGGGGCAATGCGTGGATCGGCATTCTCGAGCATGCCATACGTGGCGAGAGCCTCCTTCTCCTGGTGGCGAGCTTCGTTCTCGAGGTCGGAGATACGGGAAGCGAAGTACTCTTCGTCGGCGGCGTCACCTTGACTCTGGCGGTACTCGAGCTCCTCCTTGAGCTGGGCCTGCTCGTGGGATAGCCACTCCGAAATCTGCTTGCGACGGAAGGTCAACTGGCGAGCACGGTAGTTGATGTCGAGGATGGGAAGCGGGTGCTTGGTGGAAACTTCGCGGGCGATAGTGAGCGCACCACGACCGGGCGCAGGAATAGAACGACCAGCCTTGTCGCTATAGAGGGGGAAGTTAGATAACCTCAACTGAAGAGAAAGAAAGTTACGAACGTTGAGGTGGAGGTGAAGGCTAGGATACCACGGATAGGGGCGCCGAGCTCGATGGCAGTCTTCGCGTTCATGACGACATGCACGCCGGTACCTTGCGCCTCCATGAACTACATTATTATGTGATCAGTACGGGAATATTGACTAAAACGTTGATGATGGGAAGCTTACACCTGAGCGAGTCGTCGTGGTAGGCCTCGACATCTCGGTCGGCTCACGACCCATCGCCAACTCAGTCTCGGTGTTGCTGGTGGCCTTCATGTTCGCGAACTCGTACGAACCCTCCTCAGAGATATCGTCGAACCCACCGGCGAGCATGACCTTGGCCTTGCCCGAGAGCAAGGTGTCGCAGGCGATTTCGAGAGACTGGAGGGCGGTAGCGCTGAAAGAAATCAAATGGTCAGCGAAAGCTGGAGGATGGAAGACGAGCTACGACCGTACCAGGCACCGACGGGGATCTTGATGGGTCCGCTGGAGGAAAGAAGAAGGAGGTTGACCCAACCAGCAGTGGTGTTGATGAAGCTACCAAAAACAACATATTAGCGACATAACGAAGCATCAAATCGAGAAATACACATACGTTTCCTGAAGAATATCGTTTTGAACCTCTTTCTCCTCGCGACGGTCCTTGAACATCTTCGCCAACGACTCCGTACCACCCATACCGCTACCAATAGACGAACCGACTTCGGAGGGGTGCATGTGCTGGTACAGTTCGTACGGATCGGTGATACCGGAGCTGTTGAGGGCTTCGGCAGCGCAAACGAGAGCCCAAAGGGACATGCGGTCGGTGCGAGCGATGATGTCCTCCGGAATACCGTAGCGACCAGCGTACCATCCAGTAGGAAGCTGTCCTGCGACTTGACGGTTGAACGTGAATGATTTCGGAACGAAGATACGGACGCCCTTCTTGAACTTGACGAACCACTGGCTGCCTTCGCCAGCCCAGATGTCGCATTTATCGCCGTGCTCGTTCTTGAACTTGGCGGCTTCAACGTCGGAGGTCTCGAGCGGCTCGAGGTCGTGCGTGAGCTCGATCTCTTGGTTAAAGATCTTGTTCTTCGGGTCATAACCACGGAACAACTCAGGTTCTATAAAAGAAGATGAAGAGGTAATATTAGAGGTAGAAATTAGACACAAGAAAAATAGACGTACCAATCATACGAACACCGGCGTGCTCCAAAATCTCCTTCTCATACTTCCCACGGACATCCTTGTCGTCGACAGGCTCACCAGACTTCGTGTCGACCCAACCAACGTGCAGCGACCCATCCTTCAAACGGCCATCGAAGTGCTTGATGAAGCCCATCATCCAAGCCATCTCGATACAACCCTCCAACGTGAACTCTCCACGGGCCTCCATCTCCCAACGAGTACGCGAGCTACCCCATGGCCCGACCTCGGCGAAACCGGTGATGACAATGACCTTTTCGAGGTCAATGACGTCGCGGAGCTTGGAGAGCTTCTCGAGGTTGGCAGCGGGCTCGAGCTCGGGGAACTCGAAACGGAAGTTGGCGCGGGGGGTGACGTTGACGGTCTGAAGAACACGCTCGGCCTCGAGACCGTTGATGACCTTGAACTCGGCGGAGTTGTCGCGGGTGATGGCACGACGAAGTTCGGCCTTCTTGTTGATGCCGACGCGGATGCGAGTGGTGATCTCCGCGAGGTCAGCGAGACGATCCATACCACCACTAAGATCGGCCCAGATGGGCTCGACTTGGGTGATACTGAACAGGAGAGGGTGCATGAGGCCGAGAATGTTGAAGGCCATCTCCTTGGCAGAGAAAGTGCGGACACCGTGTGATTCAACCTCTTGGGCGACCATGTTCGTGGCGTCCATGAGACCGGTTCCACGGGTCCACCTAGATTAGGAAATTAGTAAAGGGTGGGAGCGGCGAAGGGCAGAAAAAAAGCGTACCCAATCACAGCACCAGCGAGACAGAGGTATTCTCCCCAGCTCTCCGAAGCCCAGCGGTTGAACAGAGTCTCGAGAGAAATCTTGGACTCGGAGTACAAGCCGTCGTTACCGAAGAGACCGTGGTTGGGCGACAAAGGAAGGATAACTTGAGTCGGGCGGGTGACGAAGTGACGGCTCGCCTTCTTGGTCTTGACGGCGCCGAGAAGACGAAGTAAGTTGACCAACATGATACGGTGGGCGAGTTCGGACTTGTCGTCGAGACCGTCGATCTCACGACCGTTCTCTGGGACGGCGGCGAAGGGAAGGATGTAGTCCAAATCGAGGCCGAGGGTGGCGAAGATGTAGTCGACGAGGGCCTCGACATCCTGCTTCGAGCCTTGGTTGAACGGAACGACGGTGAGGGCGGAGCCACGAGAGCCGAAGCGCTGGAAGATCCCCTGGTAGTACTCGACGGTGGCGCGGCTGTAGCGGGAAGTGGTGATGACGACGTGGGCACCACCGGAGAGGAGACCCTTAAGAATCTCGACACCGATCGAACCCTTGCCGACACCGGTGAGAAGAGCGTTCTTATCCTTGAACGTCGTGCCGGAGGTCGCGATTTCGTGGAGAACGTCCAGGTAGACACCGGTGAGATTGCTAGAGTACTCCCACTGCGTGCCGACCTTGCGCTTCAAATGGAGGAGAGGGATCTTGTCGGCGGAGACGGAGCTGATACCCGAGACTTGAGGACGGAGGAATTGAGATGAGGAGCGACGGCTGCGGGGCTGTCCGGGACGAGGACGAGGCTGTTCAGGAGTCTTCTTGAGCGAACGGACGACGCCATCGTAGAGGGCCTTGATGCGGTTCTTCTGCTCGTCAGAGATCTCGGGTTGGGTCTTGACGACGTTCCAGAGCTTGAGAACGTCGTCCTGGATCTTGGAGATGTTGACCGAGCTGGGGATGTTGTCGGAACTCGCCATCTCCTCGACGTAGGCCTCGAGCTTGCGAACGTTCTCGCGGACGACCTCGGAGTAGATGATGTCGCCCTTCGCGCTGACCTCGGTGTGAGGGGCGGTAGGGAAAGTCACTGAAAAAAATCGAAACCGTAAGTACGCAGTGACGGAAATAAATGACGGATGGAATGTATTATGGAAAGGAAAACACATACCGTCCTTGTACAACGGAGCTTGTCCAACAGCCTCGCGACAGTTGTCGATCAGCTGCTGACCGAACGTCTTCGCCAACTGATACGTCTCGCCTTTCGAGGGATCGACCTGCTCGATAACATACTGCATGTACTCAACGATCGCGGAATCCACCCTGTTCATGATAGCGATACAACGAGCCGTGATTTCGCGGTCGACGGTGGTAAGGCGGCCGAAGATGATGTCGTAGAACATCATGAGAGCATCTTGACGGACCCAGTTCCACGAAGAGTCGAAGTGGCGAGCCTTGAGGACGTCGAAGACGGGCTGAATACCGTCGAGGTAGGAGTCGCCGTGCTCGCGAGTGATGCTGTCGATGCGGGCCTGGAGAGTGGCGACGTTCGCCTTCTCCTTGTCGTGGGCGATCTCGCCGGCACGAGAGTCACGCTTGAGATAGCGCATGTACAGCTCGACGTGCTGAGCGGCGAACTGCTCTTGCTCGGCCTGGAACTTCAAGAACTCCTCACTGTTGATGACGGCACCACCAGCCCCTCCTCCACCTCCACCGGCAGCGGCACCAGACGAAAGAGAGATGCCGGCGCGTTGGGCGTAGACGGCGACGATGGAATCCACCCACGCTTTACCCTCAGCCTCAGACCCGAGACGCTTCGGCGGCTCCATAGTGGCGCCGAGAAGGAGAGCGGCGTCGGCGCGAGCGGGCCCCAAGCCCCAGGACTTGTTCATGTAGCTTTTGATGGCGGAAAGGTTGAATCCACCAGGCATCTTGCCACCGACGACACGGGAGACGAGACCGCTGGTGTACTTCCCGAGCGTACCGGAGTGTCCCTGACCAAGCGCAGAACCCAACTCCTCGAGCGGCAGCTCCTCTCCTTTCTCCGGCGCAGACGAGAACTCGAGCTGAAGGTCGCCGAGAATCTCGTTCTGGAGGGTGGACTTGCCACCGACGAGATCCTTGATGGACTTGGAGAGGGGAATCTCCTCGACCTTCTTCTTGAGCTTCTGAGCCACGATGGTGGCGAGGATGTCGACGGCGCGGACAGGAACGTCCTCAATGCTCGTAGCAGGTCCCGACGGCGCGGCCACGGGGGCAGGGGCGGCAGCAGCGGGTGCGGAAGAAGCGGAGGGGGCAGCAGGGGCAGAATCGGCGGGAGCAGCCTCAGCAGCCTCGGGCTCGTCCTCGAACTGGTAGTAGATCTCCTTCGGGTTCTTCGCGTGACAAAGGATGGTGCGGACGTGGTTGACGGAGTCATCGCGAACCTCGTACTTGGCCTTGAGGGTGCGCGACGCCATACCGGTGAGGGTCGGGGAAGGACCGATTTCGACCAAGCGCTCGAACTGGTACTTCGTGAACAGGAGGTCTTGAGTTTCGATCCAACGCACGGGAGAGGCGAACTGGTACGCCAGGAGCTCGACGAGGATGGTGTACGCGAGCTTCTGGCGTTGCTCGAACGCACCCCACCCTTCTTCGTCCCAGTTCTTCAACACCTTCGAGAGACGAGGTGACGAAGTCTGGTCGTAGATGAGCTGGGCGTAGTCCTTCGTGACCGCGAAGGGCTGAGCGACCAAGTTCGGGACGTACTTGCCCTCGAGCATGTCGGGGTTGAGGTGGGCGGCGTTGATCTTCTTCGAAAGGTCTAAAAATAATGATATTAGTACAGCAAGAGAAACTCGAAAACGAAGTACTCACAAGCGCGGAACGGCATGACGCCAGCCCAGAGGTAACGAGAGTGGAAGGGTACGTCGATACCGGGGAGAGGGATGGTAGCGAAGCCACGCTCGAGCTTGATATGGCCCTCGAGTTTCTGCTGTTCCTGAGCGCGTTCGTAAGAGCTGTCGATGATGTCGCCCAACATCTCCTTGACCTTCTCGACGGAGAACTGTTCGGTCAACTTAGGAGAAAAGAGATGTCAGCAATACAAAGGAGAAATGAAGAAGCTAAAAGGACGGACCTTCGCGATGTCGACCTTCTCCATCTTCAAATAGTTCAAAACGTTCGTCAAGGCCTGGAGGGCGACGAGCTCTCCAGCGCAAACGTATTGTTGGCCCTATAAAAGATATGATCAACGACGCTCTTAACGACCTCAGAAAAAAAAAAGAACACGAACCTCAACGTTAAAGTTCACGATCTCAATCAAACATCCCGTCCTATGCGAAATCGAATCCACAACTTCTCTCAACGCCGCATCGTTAAATGTCTTCGAGATCCTGCTCGGGTTAACGGCACACATCGCATAATTCGACCTGTTCTGCGAATCGCGCTCCACCGCACGCTGCATCGTAATACCACGGTAGAACACGACATCGACCAAGGACGAGATCGGGAGGACGTCGGCGATGGAGGCGAGCGCGGAGTATTCACCGAGCGAATGGCCCGCAAAGGCGCAATCGCGCTGGACGAAGCCCTTGGAGCGCATGTCCTCGAACGCTGCACGCTCGGTCACGACGAGGGCGATCTGCGCGAACTGGGTGGCGTAGAGAAGACCACCGGGGTGGCGGAAAGTGTACTGGGGCGTCCTGACGTGAATGTCGGAGAAGAGCGGAAGGGTCTTGATGTTCCCCTCCTTGTCCATCGTGTCGTAGGACATGTCCATGTAACGCTGCCTGATCGCCTGGCCCTTGATACCACCGAAGTGGATGGTCTTCTCCTTGGGGTTGTCCTTCACGATCTCGACGATCGAGAAGCCGTAGACGGCGAGGAGATGCTGGTCGGCGCCTTCCCAGACAGCACGAGCAGCGGGAGAGGAGTTGTAAAGATCCATACCCATGCCCGGCTCCTGAGAGCCTTGACCGGTGAAGACGTAGACAGTGGTGGGTTGGGCGATCTCGGCGGTACCCTCAATGACCTTCTCGCCGTTCTGGTTGACAGTCTCGACCTTGACGACCTTGTTGCCGTCGCGCATCGCGATGTGCTTGATCTTGACGGACAGCTCGTCACCGGGGAGGACCATCCCGACGAAAGCGACATCATACCTACAAACCGAAATTCGTCAGCTTGATTCAAGCGAAATGAAACGGAATACAGAAAAGGAAAGGAAGAAACACTCACGAAAGAACCCTCTCAGGCGATCCACCCGCAACCACACTCTCGACATATCTCCTCGTCGCCGCACTCGACCACATCCCATGCGTAATCGTCCCCGGCAGGTTCGCATAGTCCGAGAAATACGGGTTAACGTGAATCGGATTGAAATCACCCGAAATCTTCGAGTACGGCTCGTTCGTCGCCGGAGTCGTGAACGTCGTTGATCCAGCCGAGGTGAGCGAGTAACCATTAGCGAGTGGCGTAGGAAGACCCTGAGGCGAGCCGTTCCTCTGCACGTACGCGACGACGGGGTTGCCCTGGCAGTCGTCCCTCTCGAAATCGACAGAGCCGACCTTGACGAGCCTCTTGAGCTGATCGCGGACGAAGACGTCGCCCGAGACCGAGACACTCTTGTAGTTGACCTTGTCCTTGTACGTCACCTCCGACTTCAACCTGAACACCAACCCAGTCCCCGCCTGAAGTGGCTTCGAGTCGTCATCCCACTCGAACCACTCCTTCGATTGCAAAACACCAACATCCGCATCGTTCGCGAGCTCGACGAGATAATCAGGCTCCTGGATCGTCTCGAACGTGTTCTCGTAGTCCGTGAACTTGCCGCGATAAAGGAACGAGCTCGACACCTCCATCACCCTCTTATCCTCACAAACAACGTACCCCGACACCTTCACCGTCTTGCCCGCATCCGAATTAATCACCGCCGTAACCTTCGCCTCCGCCTTGCACACATCACCAGCCTGGAGAGTCTTCGCCCCGGGAACGACCTTGAACCCGTTAGTGAGATGGACGAGCTTGAGGAGGTCGCCGTCGATGGAGGCCGGGAAGATAGACTTCATGATCGCCTGCCAGCCGGTGACGATAGCGAAGTCCATGGGGGCCTTGACGTCGGCAGTCCGGACGGCCTTGAACGCCTCCTGCTGGTTCTCCACGACGGCACAGAACGTTTCAACGTCCTTCGCGGAGATCTCGACCTCAGGGCCGGTGAAAGTATCCCGAACATTGATCTCGGGGAGCTTCTCGTCGTCGCCGAACCAGAGACGCCAGTAGAAGTCCTTGATGCGCGTAGTGCGACCGACGGCGACTTCGTGGATGGGAGCGAAGGGCTGCGAAGGGACATACTGGAACTGAAGGTGGAGGGGAATGGAGGACTCCTGGCGGTACTCGAACAGGGTAAGGTCGATGACCTTCGACTCGGTGTTGAACGAAACCTCCACAGCCTTGTGATCGTCCTTCTGCGGGCCAAAGGAACGAGCAGCACCGAAGAGGGAAGCCTTGACGGGAAGACCGTCCGCGAGCTCGAGGACGATCTTCTGGTTCGGGCGAGGGGCGAAAAGGCGACGGATAGGGTTGTCGACGTAGGAAGTTCCCTGAATAACGTTGATCGAGGAAACGAGAGCGCTCCACCAGTTCAGGCTCGAACCAGCAAGGAATGTGAGGAATTCGGAGGTAGGGGGGACGGAGGCCGAAGTGGAGAAAGTGACCTGGTTGTCCTCGGCAGCAACGTCAACGCCACGAGGAACAGAGACAGGAGAAGGTACGGCGCCGAGGTAATCGACGGTCGGGACGTTGGCAGCGTCGCCACCGTACGTGCGCTCGAGGAGTTTCTCGACGAGGATGTTGGTGACGTTGTCGAGCATGTCCTTGATGGGCTCGTCCTTCACCGTCGAGTGCTTGACGGCGACGGGGCCCTGGAGGATGCAGACACGCTGGGGGTCCTGGTCGAAGACAGCGTCGATGTCCTCAGCGGGCCACAGCGAATCCTAAAAGACCAGACGAAATTAAGTAAATTGTATGAAGAAGTATTGAAAAAGATGGAGACGTACCTTCTTAAACCAGACCTCAAAGGTCGAGTCCAAAATCGGAATGAACGGAACTGGCTTCTGCCCCGGCCTCTGCGCAATCGTCAAGAAATATGCCTTATCCTCCGCCGCCAACAGCTGCTCCCTGCCCAACGGATACTTCTCAAAGAACTCCTTTACGAACGGCGCCGGCGTATCCAACGACGTAAAGCTCTGCAACACACTCGCCTTCAACCCTCCCCCATTCACACCCGCGAACCTCTCCTCGACCCTCCTCAACCAATCGCCCGTCAGGTTCCTCAAGGAGATATCGACCCAGCGCTCCTGGTGGTCGACGTACATGAGACGAACCAAGCGCAGAACGGTCTCCTCGTACGTCATATCGCCGAGATCATCGACGACAGACCCGTCCTTCTTCCATCCGAACCACGGCTTCGCGAAATCCGCATTCAACTTCTTGATCACCTCCGCCCTCCGTTCCTTCAACCAAGCCTCCCTCTTCTCCCTCGGCAACTTAAACACAGTATCGTCGAACTCCTTCCACAACTTCACAGCCCGCGTGGCGATCTTGTGGATCGGCTCGCCGAGCTCCGAACGCACAGTCAAAATCCCACCGGTCTCCTTCGCGTACGTGCCTTCCCATTTCGAGTCGTCGACGCCGGAAGCCTTGACGATGAGGTCTTTGACGGAGGACGAGGTGTGGGCCTCCTTCGCGACCATGACGCGGGACGCGAAAAGGAACCCGTCGAAGGGCATGGGCTGAACGTCGTACTCGGCGGACCAGTCACCCGTGAGATATGGCCACAAATCGTCCGCACCACCAAACCCAGACCCACCGACGAGGATGATGTTCGAACGTTCACGGATCGAACGATAAGTCGAAAGAATAGGTTGATGGAAGTCTTCGCACGAATGATGACCGCCGGCACGTCCACCAGTCCACTGAAGCAGGATGGGGAAGTCGGGGTTAGAAGCGGCGATGTTGACGACCTGACGAATACCGTCGACGGATCCAGGCTTGAACGCGATGTGCCTAATCCCCGCCGCCTTCAACCCCTCGATGATCTCCGCCGCCTTCTCAGTGGACGGAATCCCCGCAGCGACACAGAATCCCTCAATCGGCAACCCTTCCTTCCTCATCTCCTGCCACAAGGGCCACTGGAACCCGAACTGACGAGGGTTGATGTAGAGGGCGTTGAGCGTGAGACCGACACCGGCGGGAATGTTCGCTTGGATCTCGGCGACCTTGGAACGAAGAGCAGCGGCGTTGTAGTGGCCACCACCGGCGAGTTCGACGTGGTAGCCGGCGGAGAGGATAGCGGAAACGAAACCGGCCTTGACGGTGGTAGGAGTCATGCCGGCGACCATAATAGGGGGTTTGCCGAGGAGGCGAGTGAAGGGAGTATCGAGATGAATCTTTCCATCGCTAAAAACATGATACTTTCAGTCTAAATCCTCGAACAACAAATCAGATAAATAACACACCTAGTCTTCACCAACGACGGGGACCACTTCTTGACCCAAGACTCCTCCCGCTTCACTCCGCTAACGGAGAACAGCTCGGCATCTCCACGACCCCTATCACCGACGACGATTACACGAATACCACGACCGTCGAGGTTACGAGCGGTGAGAGGACCGATGCCGCTGAGGCCGCCGGGACCGAAGTCGATTGCGTGAGTGGCGGTGGCGGGGAAATCGGTAGCCTGCTTCCAGTGGATCGGCGAAGTGAAGATCTGGTCGCAAATGGAGCGGGTGAGAGATGTGGAAAGCTCGCGAAGGTCAGAGCCTGCAGAATCAATTAGTACTCGAGTGAGAAAAATCGAATGTATAGAAACGTACCATCTTCGGTGTGGAACACCGGAATCTTCAAGTCCTTCACATCCCACAACTCCTCGTCCTTCAGATCCTCCTTGCAGAGCTTATCAACTGCATCCTTCAAGTACTCGCTGTGGTATGGCACTCCAACAGCCAGGAAACGGACGTAGAAGACCGGCTTGCGCTGTGAGAAGGGCGTCTTGCTCTGATCGACGCCATTCGGGGCCTTGACTTTCCTGAGGCTGGCAACGAGACCGTAAAGAGCACGAGGAGGACCGGTGACGACGAAAGCCTTCGCGCCGTTGTGGAGAGAGATGTGAAGCTGAGAGTTGGAGGGAAGATGTTTGTTCGTCTTCGCGACGTGTGGCTCGAGGTCTTTGAGCAACAGGCCGACGACGGACAACATAGGCGTGGGAGAGCCCTCGCCACCTTCGATCGAATCCTCCACGACGCTAGGCTCGAGTGCGAGGATGGGGAAGGCCTGCTGGCCTCGGAGACCAGCGTGGAAGAGCCACCGGAGTCCCTGGTGCGCGTTCTTGAGATAACTCGCGTCGTCGGTAGACGCAGAGATGCAGACAGCGGTAACGAGACCTTGGGAGTGGCCCGTGGCACCGGCAAGTCTCGAGTTGAGCTCCGCGTACGACAATCCAGAAACGCGCGAGACGATCAGATACTGCACGAATTGCGTGAGGCCGATAAGAGGGAACGAGACCGGGACGGAGGCGAGGTATGAGACAGGAGGAACGGGTGAGGCGCCAGTGAGCCACGAATAGACGTCCAGTCCGTGCGAGTAATAGGAGGTCGTCGAGTGAACGTTTGCGAGAGGGGAGAGGACTTCGGAGACGGCGAGCTTGATCCAGTCCTCGACAAACGGTCGGTAGATGTCGAACAGAGATTGCAGCTCATCAAAGTAAACCTCGTTGATACCTTGCCCGCCGAAAATTGCGTAGGCCGAAGCTCCGTCCTTGAAGAGAGACGGGGTCGGGAGCTGAGGTAGACCCTCGACCTTGCCTGCTTGGAGTGTGGCGTAGGCGAGGAAGAACGAGGAGAGAACGACCTTCCGAGAGTCGACATCGAACGAAGAGACGAGTGAATGAATATCCGTCTCGGCGAGGTATGTGGCGCCGAAGTGGGAAAGGGCCTTGAGGAGAACCGCGAGGCGAGGAACGCGGCTTGCTTCGCACTCGGCGTGGACGTTGCGTGAGGTAAAGGCGAGGAAACGTGCAAAGAGGACGACCTCTGCCTGTGTCTTGTCGTCTAGCTCTTCCGAGTTGCTCGCTGCGTCTTGAACGCTCTGCGAGTGGACAAAGTCATCTCTAAGGACCTCTGCCGCGATCCACTGGTCGCACTCGGTCGAAACGGGTATGGAAACCTGTTCAGATAATGTGAGATGAATCTCTGCGATATTTAGATGACTATGCGCACTCTAATTTGGCCAACGTGGAGTACAAGAGGTCTAGTGGGGATGGTAGCAGCGGCATCGCCGTTCTGAGTCTTCGTGGCCGTCATTTTTTGTGGATGAAGTCGTGAATAGGGATGGGGGAAGGGAGGGAAGGTAGGGCGGTGGGGAAAGGATTGGATTCAGCCGAGGAAAGGCTGGTTTTATGATTGGGAGTGGACGACGAGCAAGAAGTGCCTGTAAATCCCCAGATTTGTAGCGCCCCAAAAGCCTGATTTGGCGTCCCCCACCAGGCGCGTCGTCCGCTTTCGGCAGGCGCGCGTCCCAATTGCATATTTCGACGCGTCGCGCCACCAATCTCCGTCTTCGCGTTCGTTTCTCGTCCTTTTCTCCTTCGGGAGTCCGTCACAGCCTATCCTCTTCACTACAGATTTCGGACTTTTCTTTTTTCGTACTGTTGGCTCGAAAACCGCTTAGCTCGACCGACGCACCCCAACTCTTTGCCAACAGTCATGGACCATAATTTGTAGTACTCATTCTTCCTGCCGCACAGCCTCCCCTACAAATTGGCCAAACTGGAGTTTTTCGGCGCCCACACAATGCTGAGACATTTTGTGTATGTCGTCTGCGGTCTGTACATGCTCGATACACGCGTTCAGCATTGCTCTGAACCCTTAACCACAGACATCGATAAAGACACGCGCGTTCAACGACTCGAACCAACGAGTTGTCCAAAAAGAACTCCGCCATTGGCCTCCCGTACGCTCCGACCTCCTTCCTTCTTTGCCCATCCGAGACGAGCGCCACCCGACTCTCCCCGACATCGTTTCTTCTGCCCCAGTGCCCCTGTGGCGATCAATCACACCAACTTCGGGCATCGTAATTTACATAGTACGCGTATGCTCAGGTTGGTCAGCTCCAGCTTTCGTTCGAGCTGCCCCAACGAAGAGTACGCAGAAGATATCTTACCAACCTATCAATCCCCACCGATATGATCAGGCTTCTTCCCAACGATTCGGTGGTTGAGTAAATGATGCCGTATGCAGGAGGTACGGTGCCGTCTTTCGACACTAACTCTAACTCTGGCTTTGTCCCCAACAGAGATATAGATAGGTGGCGTCGGTCCTGACACGGTAGGGTACACCCCAAAAGGACTTCAATAATATATTCACAAAGGAAGGTGGCGCCATCGGGCAGAAGTCTATCATGCTGATACGATAAACAGTCTAAGGGCGTCATGATACGAGTATCGTTCATGGCGAATCAAGGGTCTCATGTTTTGACTAGTAAGTCCTTTCATTACGGGAACAACGTATGGCATAACTGTAGCTCTCCCCTTCGCGGTCGTCTGATTTTCTCCCGCCATGATTCAGCACTCGTCAATACTTGCTCGAGGCGAGGTCTTGGTCGGCTGTACTGTCTTAGTCGCATTTTCCTAGGGGCCGATTTCGACCTACCTTGGAAGCCTCTACGCGATGAATAATCTCCAGGTGACCTTTGTTTCAATCATTACTGAGAAGCACAGTCAACCAACCTCGGCTCATGATATAAATTCAGTGTATGACGAGGGAGCTACGGTTTGCATGCCCGTATGATGTACGTACGTATACCATCTCTCTCCAGCTTGTATCGTCGCTCACGTCCCCTCTTCAGACTTCGGGGTCGTCGTTGTTTCTCCGTCAACATTGTATGATAAAGGTGTTTAATGATTCTCGAGTTCTAATCAACATCGTGACTTGCCGGCGTTTCTTCCGTGCGAAAATTCATCGCTCATTGTCTAAAGCTTGGGAACGTGCAAAGGTCATCTCGCTCTTCGAACCCAACCATGTTTGGGCTGTTGACGTCCCTCGCTCTACATCGTACACTTGACTCTCCTCCGACCATAATATTTAGAGCCTATGACCCACCGGTGGATAAGATGTTCCTGTAGTTCAATGCAGCCCTCCCTGATCTCTTGCGACGAAGCGGATCCGGCGCTTTTCACGGTTCATCTGTCAACGTGCCAGTTTTGGTTCGACTAACACGATAGTCGCTCTGTTCTCGCCTCGCCGGATCACTTGCTGTTGGCCGAGTCATAGTGATAGCGTTCCTGTGGACACGACGTTGTCTGAGCATGCGACGCGCTTCGGAAACCTATATAAGATCCTCTTCAGGACGTATGTTGGAGCGAGTCAAGTCAGCCAAAGTACCTGGGCTGTCTGCTCTCCATAAGCTCTCCTCCTTTTCCTTAACTAAAACCTACTCCGCTCTTCTCGTACATCTCGTGCGTATCTTCCCCCGTTACACCTATCTCCCCCTCTCATTGAACCAAATTTCTCGTCCAGATGTCTATGAAAGGTTCCCTCAGGACCGTCGCATTCGGCGGCACCCTCGCCGCCGTCTTCGCCACTGGCCCCGACATCTACTTCTTCTTCGCCACGCTCGCCCCCACCCAGAGTGGCGCCTCCGTCACCGACTTCTACACCAACACCTCCACCGCCAGTCTCACCTACTCCAGCCTCAACGACCTCTCCGGAACCGACGTCGCCATCACCGCCGGTAACATCAACCGCAACAGCGTCATCTTAGCCCTCGACACCGGGCCCACCATCTCCGCCACTATCCAGGGCTCGCCCGTCTCTGGCAGGGGTACCTGGAGAAAGATCACGTCTCAGCTGCGCCGAACGGTTCCATAAAAGGTGGTACACTGCTCTCGCTCGCGGATTATAGCGCCTTCGTCGGCGTGTTCGCGTTCACCAACACCGTCGCTCTCAGCGTAGTCAACCTCGCCGTGTATCACTTCCTCTCCACCCTCAGCGCCACGTCCGGCGACTTCAAATCGGGAGCTGCTGGGCCGTTTGGCTCTGATGCGGCGGAGGTCGATTTTGCTAGCGTTGATGGTTTGAGTGGACAACAGAGTCTGGAGGGAGGTAGCGAGATAAGCGCGTCTAAGCTTATGATTAGGATGAGTAATGGGGTTAGGATCGCGGCGACGATATGGCCCGGTTTGGGAGTACGATAAGTGTGGGTGGTGAAGGTTATTGGTCGAGCTTTGCTCTTTAGGGTTGGGGCTGGTACTAGGGAGAGGTATGTGGTTTGTCTCTGGCTGATGCATCGATGCTGATTTACCTGCTCATGGGCATTTTAGTTTGTCAGCCTCACAACGGTCTGAAAGTGCGCATGTGAGCTCTGATTTCTCGGATCAGTGATAAAGTAAATTTGTAACACTACACTCACGCCGTCTATTCATGATGAACCATAGCAATTTTAATCGTGTCTCTGAGCGTTGAGCAGTATGTGGACAGTGCTGGGCCCTTAATCTCCAATGCGGCGGAGGTCGACTTTACCAGCATCGATAATTTGAGCGAGCAGCAGCGTCTTGAGGGAGGCAGCCAGGTCAGCGCGTCGACACTCACGACCAGTATGAGTATTATGATCAGGATTGCGGTCGTGATCTATCTATAGTTCGGGAGTAAGATAAGTATGGGTGGTGACTGCCAGTGGTCGAGCTTGTTCTCACATCGAGGCTCATTTACCTTTATTTTGTAGAGTTTACAACGGCCTGAAGTTGCTAATCAGTAATAACGTCAACACACATTGAACCATAACGTCTCTTTGAGGAGCCTTTAATTTAGCTAGATGATGTACAACACAAGACCGGAGCAAAGACCACAAGTGTGGCGTAAAAAGGAATGCATAAACCGCCGCACACCTCCCCGGAAACCAAAGCGCGTCGTGAACTTGGGTCGGCATTATATCTCTGTCATATATAAGGTAAAATGTATCAGTATCGCTCACACTTCAGGGATATGCGTGCTCACCAATGTGCTGAGTCGATTGGGTCAGACGAGGCCAGTTCCGAGGCACTGGTTTCCATCCACTCCCAGTCAATCTTCATGAACGAGTCGTCAACACCAAAGCGTTCTGGTCGCTTATAATGATGCGAAAGCACTGACAGGTTGAACAATCATTGGTCAGTTCGATACTTTCGCGGTGCAGCTACTGTTTAGAAAGAAGCACATACCTGGAACGTCTGGGGCGAACCGCAGGAATGATTTGAGCAGGATGTGGCGAACCTTCTCGGAATGTGGAGTCGTTTTATGATATGCGGGGAGTCCGCCTTGAGGATTCGAAAGTTGTTCACGAAGTAACTGTGTTTCTTCGGGGGTCAGACGGACGAAAGGGGTATACTCGTGGAGAACTCGCAATGAGTTCATGATAATCCCTTCCAAGCAACAGAAAGAGGGCTTCCTGGGAGTGTATATGTCGGTCACTTCTTTTCCACATAGGTGGCAATGTTCTATGCTCCACGGCTGTATTCTGTTCGTCACAGATATAAAATTGACGGTCTCCACAGTCGATTGTACAGTAGGAGATCGCCAGATTGTGAGTGAAGCATAATCTGGTCGCAGTCAGTCGAACATATACACGATACAAAAGCGGTGCGGTGCTCTTCCAGAACAGTCGTAAGGCGACCGAGGTTTAGTATTCCGTACGATTCGTACTGAAAAAAAGTGCGTTCACACCGTAATATATTGACAAGGTAAACTCGAAGAATCCATCTGACTGCTGTGGAAAGTTTGACTTGCGGTGGTCTCTGTAAGGAGTGGTAATAGCGCTTTGCGTACCACCTCACGAAAATTAATGCTATAAAAGCTTGATCGATTCGCAGACCTGAGATCATGTCGCTTGTGAAGAAACCTGTGGACAGTACCGAGAAGAGTGGATGACGAGGAAGGTCTATACCTTTGACATCATTGTTTCTGTAGGGATCTGGTGCACTAGGATAATGACCGCCAGCTAGGCTGTCGACTAATGGTAAGGCTCCAGAGCTCCGAAATAGGAACTCCAAGTTGTGTAAAGTAGACCCCCCGGGCCACGTCTGTCTGACTTTCAATTCAGCAACCAGCACATCGAGAGCATGCGAGATAACGGAGGTGTCCAGATGTAAGAGGCCAGATGACACCCTCTGTGAATGAATCTGGAGGCTTGCCAATAATATTCCTACTATCGGCGCCTTGAAAATGAGCTCCTCCTGTGCTTCTCTAACCTGTGACCGCTGACTCAATCTATCCCGATGGCAAAATGCGATATGGCAGAGCGCCCTGGTAAAAGGACAGTTCCATAATTCGTGAGATATCTCCGACCCCGTGAGGTGATATGAGTAGCGTCTACCCGCCTTCACAAGCCTTCCCAGTAAAGGCAGATCTAGAAAGAATACAAATGTTAAGTCATGAACCAAGATTAGACACTAGCAACGGCCGCTCACAAGACTTGCCGAACCATTGATACAAGCAGATGTCAGCTGCTGCTGTTAGGTTACTCCTGATGCTGGCCTCGTCGGACAAAAGATAGAGAATTGTTGCTATTTCAAGAGGGGACGCACGAGGCTTCCCACCACCACGACTCGGCTGTAGTCGATATTTTTTAGGATGCCGAGATTTTGACAACGACAACAAGACAGCAGCAGCATGATCTAGTACACCATCATCGTGCGTCTGGTACAACACCGTATGAAACGCCATGTGTTCGTGCATGGCGACATCATCATCTTTGCCATGATAATCCACGATTTTGTAAGTCGTGGGGGTATTGGCCCGAGTAGGCTGAGCTACAACGAGACCATGTTGATGAGAGACAGCATCTGTATCACTACGTTGCTCCCGGAATATTGGTAACAAATAATCATTCTTCACTTTGGCAAACTTCTGCGTTATTCGTCCCCATAGCATTATGCACATAGATGGTGCACGCTTTGTTAGCTTTAACCAATAAGGTCCGTTCGTCACGAGCACTCGCGAAAGAGTAGACTGATACGGAGATGTCTTTGAGTGTACGCAGCCATGAACAACTGTCCAGATCGTGTAGACGCCGACACCAGTGATAAAGACGCATGAGATAACACCAGCCGCAAGAAGAAGTTCGTCGGATCCGGAGAGAGGTATGGAACTCGACAAGAGCATGTCGAGCAGCCCGACAATAAACAACAACACGGGTATGATCAACAGCTGAGGGAGTGTTTCAATGGCGGGTGCAAGGAGCCGATTGGCCTCAACCCAGCGTTGGTGTAGTTCGCCCAATTTCTTGTGGGCCTGACTGTGCTTTGAGCGGGTGAGCACTGCGACATATCCTCGACTCGTGACAGCTAGAGCAGCGACGGAGATCTAAAGAAAATTGCGCCAATAAGAAGTTAACAATCGAGGTACAGTCGAGTTGAACTGCACTTACACTGAGAACAAGAGAAATAGAGAAATAGAAGTTAAGACGTATTACGCCGGCAGCCGGCTCAAAGAGTGATGGTTGGGTGAAGTTGAACTGCGCGGCGCTCGCTCCTTGCAGCACGATGATTACCTCAGTCAGGTTCTGCAGTAGCTCGTTCGTTCGTTCCCCGGTGTCTGGAGCAAGATTAGTGAGAGATTGGGCGTATAGGGCTGTGACTATCGCGGAGAAAAGAGCGACCTATTTTCGTTGGAAGATAGACCCACGGTAAATCTGTGAGTCAATTTTCATGGGAAGGAGAAGACTCACGAAGATCAATAATGTATCGAGTGTGCCTCGCCATTGACTGATGATCGGCTCTACATTATTCATGTGCGAGCGTAAAAGGGCGCCCCATGCGCTCGCACTTGTCGCCGAAGTCTGAGGGAAAGGCTGCCTGGAAACCATATCTGAGCAGCCAGTAAGCAAGGTCTCTTTAGGAGCCAGGTTAACGAAGACACACGCACCTATTGCAGTCTGTTTCTCGTGAATCTTTCGCAGATATTCAGACACCTCTTGCAGACCAGACCCTGTACAGAATAAAAATATAGATTGATTTTCCGATAAGGAGAGAACGGCCACAAAACGCAGCGATCCCAACGAGAACTTCGAGACGAACAACGACGAACCTAGGCTATTACTGTTTTCCGTTTTCTCTGTCGTTTTCTTTGCCGTTTTCTTTTCTGGACCCGCCTCTGGTACTGTTGCTGGTCGCAGGTATTGTGCTTGACTTTCCATCAATACGATCAGTTTATCGAGCCTATCAGTGCTGCGCTGCGTCAGCCAGAGCAGGAAAAGAAAAACCATTAGTAACCAACATATTCGAAAGGCCCTTCCAGGGGTTGGCCTGCTCTTCATTAGAGATGGACATTGACTTCGAGGTCAAGTAAAATAGAAGGTGCTGTGTTACTTGACAAGGGCTTAGAGAGCTGAGGGAAACAGCGATGGTGAGACCGAGTGCGCAGACCCCAGGCTGGGAATAGATCGATAAAGAGTTCCATGCTCCCATGCGTTGCAGCGACAGTCCCAGGCTTTCAGTTACTGTCTATTCCCAAGGAGTGCGAGAAAATACGCGCCCATACGCGCATGCAGGCTGCTGAAATGAGGAACCCGAACGATTGACGAGAATTGTTGAATCGGATGGACACAACATCATCGCTATACTCGAACTAAGATTCTTCCGTCAACGCTATTCGTAAACCTAAGGGTGTCAGAAATCCCAGGACAGTTACTTACAAGTTAACTTACGCCGTTTTCGTGAGAGGAAACGGACAGTGGCAGACGACGATTGTGGCGCGCCACCTTATGTTCTGCCTCCGTGATGTCATAAGAGATAAGATAAGATTCAGCGTATGTACGCCTGTTTCTCGCAGGTTCTGGCAAGTTCGTTCCTCGCCTGGCACAGTCTCCTGAGCTCCAGACTCCGCCTTACGATCCTTCAAGTACATCACAGCGCGCCCATCGTCGACGTCAACTTCTAACTCACCCTCTCACCCCAACCATTATACCTCAAATACCCCTCGTATCTTAGTTTCTTTTCAGAGACTATCACACCTAGCGCTTGACTCCTACATACCTACCCACTCTACTACCGTTCTACCTTGAAAGCGACATATCAACATGGGTAAAGACTACTACAAGCTTCTCGGCGTTTCAAAAGATGCCTCAGAAGACGATATCAAGAAGGCCTACAAGAAAATGGTACGTCCTCTTACCATCATTACTGATGAGGTGCAAACATGTTGACCACACTCTCATCCGTAATTTAGGCCTTGAAATGGCACCCAGATCGAAACCAAGGATCCGATGCTGCATCACAGAAGTTCAAAGAGGTACATACTCATCCACTCTTTCTAACCCCTTCGTATGAATGTTTTACTCCCAGTGCTGACGTTTGACCTACAACCCCTATTCCACTCCATTACAATATGTAGATCTCCGAAGCCTTCGAAGTCCTCTCAGACAAACAGAAACGTACCATATACGACCAACTAGGCGAAGAAGGTCTGAAGGGCGGAGGAGGAGCCGCAGGCGCTGGTGCCGGCCCAGGCGGTTTCCCAGGATTCAGTTCAGGAGGATTCCCAGGCGGAGGTCCGACGACGTTCACATTCGCGTCGGGTCCCGGAGGTGGAGGATTTGCTGGTATGGGTGGAGGCGGAGGTAGAGGTGGATTCGCACCTTCCGATCCACAGAAAGTCTTCGAGTACGTATTTTCTTCCACCTTTTCAGCTTCACTTAGCCCGGAAGGCGTCACCTGAGAGCGCTGCTGACGGTATTTGTTTGTAAACCTATAGGTCGTTCCTCTCCGGAATGGGCTTCGGCGGACTTGGTGGGATGAGCGGGATGAGCGGAATGGGAAATATGGGCGGTTCGTCAAGAGGTAGTTTCAGCATGGGAGGAGACGACGATGACGACCCAATGAGCGGTGGGGGCAGCCCATTCACCTCCTCATTCGGCGGCATGCCAGGCGGTATGCCGCGTCCACGCCGTACCAACTCTCGTTCTGGCTCCGGTTTCCGTCCAGCCTCACCTTCGTCAGGCGGTATGAACGGCGCATCATCACCACCAAACGAGATCACCAAACCACTAAAGGTCTCGCTAGAAGATCTATACTCGGGCGCTACGAAGCGGCTGAAGATCGGGAGGAAACTGTTGGATGGAAGTAACGAGGATAAGGTGTTGGAGATTCAGGTATTACCTGGGTGGAAGAGCGGGACAAAGATCAGGTTCCCGAAGGCAGGGAACGAGCAGATGAGTGGCGAGGCGCAGGACTTGGTGTTCGTGGTAGAGGAGAAGCCACACGATCGATTCACGAGGGACGGGAACGATTTGATCGCGAGTGTGAAGCTTCCACTGATGGATGCGTTGACAGGCGAGGGAGGGAAGAAGACAGTGGAGTTGCTGGATGGGAGGAAGGTCGGAGTGCCTGTACCGGGTGGTGTAGTGAAGCCCGGGCAGGAGACAAGAATACCTGAGGAGGGAATGCCAATCAGGAAGAATGGGGTGGGGAAGAAAAAGGGGGATTTGGTGGTGAAGTGGGATGTCGTGTTCCCGGAGAGACTGACTCCAGCGCAGAAAGAGGGTGTGAAGAAGGTGTTGGGTTAAAGAGGCGGCTGGTTATTGTGTGGCGGTGGCGTGGCGACTTGATATGATGGACGATCCCGCTCTTGGTCTTTTTATTTCCTTTGTTTTCGAACTGCTGTTTCCCTCGCAATCTACACCTACTTCCTGTTGTTGGTTACCTCTCCTGTATCTCTCATTGTACTTCCGTATTATGCAAACACAGCTACATCCCCGTTGGATTTTCGGCGAACCGGAGGAGCTAGAACAGACATCTCAAAACAGGGAGAAAAATTTACTATCAAACGGAGAACCATCTATTTGAGTGGGCACGACTTATCAAGCAGAGAAAGAATACGCACGGACAAGAACCGTTCGAATCAAGTCACGATTAAACATGGCGCCGTGGCGTCGGAGCTTGAATGGTGACGATATTGACCTGACGGCCCTCAAGCCGGCACTCCTAAAATATAAGTTACGGGCAAGCTAGTCACCATGGAGTCCATCCTCGTGTTGAATAGCCAGCTGCGTCGATCCTCACAACGGTCGTGTCGAAAGTCAAGCCTCTCCACGACCAACATACTTACACGTACGATCGACAGTCGCCGCCGTGTCGGTACCGTGTGCTGATCGTGAAGGTTCTTCGCCACTGTGGCGACACTAGTACTCCGTCTGCCATGATCATTCGGTGGTCACATAGTAGGAAGCTCCTGGCGCTGTTCATTCGGGCGCAGATAAATATAGCTAAAGTATATGACATAAACAAACACCAAACCAACATCGTGCCACAGCTATCAACGCAACACTAACACCCTAGGTATCCCGATGATGCCTCAGTACTACTAGATATTACAAAATACGCCCACAAGTAAATACATAGAACGCAGTTACTCTCAATAAGTATAGTCTTGACATGACATAGATAGCAAATGCCCGCACTTGCGTCCTCGACACTTCCTCCAGAAGAGGACCAGCCCTTGTCTCTGCTCTATATCAAACAAATGAGGGTGGCGAATGTCCTCTATTCTGAGTCATTACGGAAGGCATCCTTTGAGAGAGAAATAAACTCTCTGATCAGCGGGCCAGAATCGAGAGAGAGAAAACGGTGTAGTGATGCATACCGGCTGCGCGATGGTCGCCCCTGTGAAAGTAGGTATTGAATTTCTTCGGAGCTTTGCGTCATGGTAGCAGGATTCAGAGTGCGAGGACACTCAACTGAGTGTCTGCTCAATGTGTTTGGCCGTAACAGAGACGTCTGCGTCCACAAGAACGCGAACAATATCATGAGGGGAAAGAATAGCAGCGCGCATCCACCGACTTTCACGATTGTGTCGGGGGAACGCCATGTAGCGAGAAGAAGACCTGAGGAAGGGTCATCAGCAAGAGAACAATGACTTGCAATTAAGTATAAAAACATACCGATAATACCGAAGGAAGTCGAAACACCCATGGCGAAGAATGGATACGCTAGCAGGACGAGGGTGCACACAACCCGTGACCGCGTTGACATCAACGTCTACAATGTTCAAAACCATTAACATAATGTGTTTACGAGGGGAAGATAAAAATCCACACCTCGCGATACCAAGTGGGTGCGGTCATCGAATTCCCGTACATAATTGCAGAGCCGACGATTATGCCACCCCAAGTAGCACCGAATGCGACAAGGAGACAGATATACGTGATACGCTTGTTATAGTCCAAGACCTCTTCGAAGGGTGGCGGGGTAGTGACCCAGGCCGAGAGACCAGTAAATATCAAGGCCCCCTGGCGAGAGTTTTGCTGTCAGACCAAAGAAGAACCAAAAAGACAAGGTATGTGGACACTTACGACGATGTTCAGCTGCGAAATTCGATCGGTGTAGCGATCCTTGAAAACAGCCCATCTCTCGCCATTCTCGCCGGCATCCCAAGCTTCCTGTAGGTCTCTGCGTCCGTAACAGATCAAACAGCACATTTTCATGAAGACTTCGCAGACTTTGTTGAGCGGGAACGGGGTGCTTGGCCAACTGTCGAGTCGCATGTGGGAAGGCATCGGTTGTCGTGGTGGAGGAGAGTAACTCGCTGGATTGTAGTGATAGTAGGGTGGCGAGGGCGGTGGGGTTGGAGGATCACGAATAGTTTGGTATGGGTTGGGTAGGCGGTAGGGTAGCGGTGTCGGGAACGAGGGCGCACGAACTGGTGTGCGAGCGTAGAAGTTGCTGGAAGGGGACCACATCTTCCCGTATGTTGGGCACTGAGGATAAACTTGAAGGTGAAACCTGGCTAATATACATCATCACCAGGGATACAATGGAACACACCCCGCAAGCGTGGATTTCATTTACTGAACAGTGTTTCGCTCTGGAGTGGAGAAGGCCAACATCCTAACAGACATTACTCTTTGAAGATGAAGAGCATCCACGCTCCCCAGATCAAATTGTTCCGAATGCTCTCGGATCTGAAAAAACGCCGAGAGGGCGGGGAAGTGTGACGAAGAACGCCTTCCATCCTACACAGTGCCCAATAGAGTACTTAATAGCGGGAGCGCAGCGCACTAGTGTCGGGTGCGACATAAAATTAAAGTACTTCTCCGCGAGTGATTCACGCCTAGCCAGCGTGCCGCGAACGAGGATTCTACACCCACAAGTGACGCGGAGTGTTCGTCCGTACACAACAGCAACAGCGGGGATGTCGACGCCGTGCAAAGTGTGATCCCGTCATGATATGACATCACTCACAATGTCCTTGCACAAGGTGCTCGGCGTGGGGTAAAGAGAGGAATTCGATCATATGAAAGAGAAACGAAAACGAAGGGAAGGGGTGGTTATCCGCATAAATACGAGAACTCTGGACCTAACTTGAGTACATGCCTAGGTCCAGGGATTCCTGGGCCGTAGAAACGTTGTCGCGGAGCTGCAGAAGTTTGTCTGCCAGTGGGGCCGTTCAACACGCTCTACAGATAGCCATCCAATAAAAAACAAGCACGGCGTCGTGCGTAGAGGTACTAGTCACCACCTCTATTCGATGGCCATACGAAGCATGGCTGGTGTGCGTCATACCGTCCCTCGAGAGGTAAGCAAAAGAAAGAGCGGATACAGAAGCTCTGGTAGCGTGGCCATGAGAGAGTGAAGGAAAGTGAGAGTCCATGGCAGCTGAACGTGATTGGCGCACTGATGGGATCTGCCGATTAAATAAAAAGGTTCTTGCCACTGTGGCCCAAGTATGCACTCTTCGACAGCGGCGTTGATCTACTTGGATGATGAACCTATGTCTATACACCCAATAGAGGAGGCCACCATGATGAAAATCCGGCATCACCCATCATGCGATGAAACACCGTTATGACCGTAAAACATACCGTCTTACGGGGCGGGGATCACTCGCAGCTTCCATCTTCGCAGACGAAAGGTAGCAAAACGTACCACTGGTACTGTCAATTTTCGTATCCCCGGAGCCTGACCGAGCTTAGAATCAGACGACAAGGAGATCTATGCCACCGAGCATTGATGAGCTCCACCATCATATGATAAGATAGACTTGCACAGCTTCACTCTGAATGCCGCGCCGTGGATAATGGACTTGTTCTCGGAGTTCGCCCTACGGAGGAAAATACATACAAAGCATAAGCCGTTTTCAGACTCCACGTACGAGTCGAGTCGATGCGTAGATGATGACAGCTGATGGTGGCTGGAGGCTAGAATCAGAGACTTACACGATGATCCTTGTACGCCGCACATGTCTTGGTGATTCAGACTTCGACTGATCCTCGGAGGCCTAGGGCCAACTTGAACATCTGTCTTGGTGGATGATTCATGAAAGGTGGCGCTGAAGAGTGCCTTGGCACACGGGATTCGTTCAAGTTCGCCCTACATACGAAAAATATCAGTGCTCGGACATCCGAAACGTGAGACAGCGAGGTACGAACAGATGCAGACGGGTACCATTGGCATTTGGGCAAGTAGTACGAGCGGGGACTCGCCGCTTCGAATTCATCTGAATAAGCTTGGATCGGATCCGCCCATTCCCATTGAGCGGATTGAATCGGACAAAGTCACTATGTAACTGCCCCGCGCCGCGCAAAGAGTGCGAAGACTACAAATCATAAGCAATCGTTCATGGTGATACTCTCATCTCACCGATCCGCCAGCCTGAGTGGTGACCTTGGTAGTGAGTCAAGTGAATCAGTCGTGGTGACCTCCAACTGGAGCATATCAGTCGGCTACTGTACTCTACTAGACTCATGTCGGGGGCACAAAAGATCATGAAGGAGGAGGGCGTGCCAGGGATCCCGAGACGTCGTCCTTTTTTTTTTTTTNTTTTTTTTTTGTTCCTTGTCGTAG